TGTGATTTCGTTTCAAGCTGATAGCTCGGTAGTTGTAAACGCAGTGTTTTAATCACTGAACAACAAAATTTGACTTTTGTCATAGTACAGAAAGCAGAATACCCATTTCTGTGGTAATTTGTGACGCTGAACACGAATCTGGCATCAGAAATGGCGTGTCAGGCTAGGTTTTTGAGATCCAGTATGTCTGTGTATCTTCTCTGAATGGCTATTTTCAACATTTCCCTCTTCCTTTATATGACATTGCCGGTGACTGCGAAGGAAAAGCTCTGTGTCTGGGGCAATTTAGGGTGCAAAATACGAATCTGGCACTAGAAATGGGGTATATCGTGTTAGGTTTTGGCATTACAGTATGTTTGCGTCCTTTTCTTAGGTGCATGTACTCAGCTTGTTATTCTGTCTTTATATTACATGGCTAGTGATCCAATTTACTTTCGACAATCAAAATATTGGTGATATTTTGATTGAGAGGTTCCGTCAGGACATCGCCGTGATGGAGAGCAGATATCAGGGCAAGTCTGGTCCCAATATGATGGGTGATTACTGCTGGACACTGCAGAGAGAGGAACGTCAGCAGGGGAGGAGACAAAGCAAGAATCAGAAGTGATTCTAACAAGAAGAGTTGCTGAGCGAGAGGAAGATGCTTAAGTGTTTGAAATGACCAAAAATCTTGCCTGTGTGGTCGAGAGGTAGCACAGATGGATGACCATACCGTTGGTTGATTGCACTTTGCCGTGATTGTACAATATGTGATTACCTACATTGCGCTGTGATGTGTGATATACATTTCTGTTCCAACAAATTGAATAGTTTTGTGCTCATCTGTGTTGCCTGGCTATGGTAAATATGGATTAAAAAGATATATAATCTAGAATCTAGATCTAAGGATATCTACAATCGGCCAACAACAATTCATAAAAAGTGAGAATTTAAGGCATCAGTATGTACCAGACAAAAAACTGAGCCCGATGGGGCTAAACGGTGACCAGATTTGGAATCAGCGGCCTCGTATTAGGTAGAAACGAATGCTCACCTCTCTGTACATTTTTGGCTGTTGATCAGTGTTATCATTTAATGCATTATGGTCAATGTCAACGTTTTGCTAAAAGTAAAACCTAATTTCTTATTGTTATTTATTCCAATCTCATTTCATCATTTCTTCACTCATCTTTCATTTTCAATTTCGATCACGTTACACACAACTGCTTGCTTACTGCGGCACCAGTAAGCATGATACCAGCGAAATTCTGTCTGCCCACCTAGCGTGTCACGTCTCAATCCCACAACAATTACACCTCCAAATCACGTCGCCAAATCACCTCCAAATCGTCGCCGGCTCCACCAATTTGTCCTAATCTCGCAGCTCGGAATCATTAACGGAAGATCTATCGGTGGGGATGAGGGAATTACCTAACGGGTAAACCATTACCATTCGTATCATAGAACTTGCCTCCGCGTAGCTGCTTACTCATGATAAGAGCTGGGACACTGATGGCTTAAGAAAGGTGGTTTTGATGCTGTGGCTGGAACACACCCAAAACATTTCTTAAAGTTCCAAAAACTTTTTTCGGCCTTTGCTTGTTTGAGCGATATTTTACATCATCGGAGAATCAGCATCATCATCATAGCAGTGTCATCAGACAGCCATCAGCCTTAGTCATCAGAGGCTGATGCAGACTCAATCGCAATTTGCAATCAGAATTTGTCGTGTCTCCTGACTTCGGCGCCATCAGACTTTGTCGTCATCAGATAACGTGATCAGGCAGCGTCATCCGAGGGACGCCATCCAAGGGGCATCATCCGAGGGGCGTCATCAAACATATGTGTCACGTACCGCCCCTCCATTAGAAGCTGAGACACGACGGCTATCGTCATAACATGTCATTAATTGGGTCTGTGAAGCGGCGGTCCCCCCAGCAGAAGGAACGTGATGTCGGGACGGCGCCGGGGATTTCGACGGCTCAGACACGGATACAGGGTGTCGGCGGCGACGGAAAGAGGGAGGGAGGGAGGAGAGAGCCGGGGAGGGAATGGGAGTGGGTGAGGGGTATGGAGGGAGGGGGATGGTTCTGTAACTCTGGGTGGGAGCTGCGCGTGTTCTGTGCAAGCTGTGTGGGTGAAAGAGAGGGAGAGAGAGAGAGGGAGGGAGGAGTTTCAGGGAGAGAGACCGTTCAGCATGTTTTGTTAGTGTTTGGTGAGAAAACTTTATTTGGGCGATTGTTGTTCCGGTATAGAAAAATGGCTCGATGTTTTCCGTTGTTTATCTTCCCAAAAGCAAATGTCCCCATGAAAACCTCCTCTCCTCCAGTTACAACCCAACCTCACTCTGGGAGGCATAGGCAGCGGGCACCAACAGGGCACGTACCCATCAAAGCGTGACCACGTATCCGTCTGCGCCAAATAGCTTCATCGGGGCTCCATAAACTGACCACTACCGGCGTCGATGGCTATAGTAGGGGCGACAAAGCGGGGGGGGGGGGATGGTGGTGAGCAAAAGAGCGACAGTGTTGGTGGTCGCGACGGTAAGCGAGAGAGCTTGGGCGGCGTTAGCGGGGGCTGGGGGGGGGAGGGGGAGACAGCACCAAGGCTCCCCATAAACAGTAAGCTGTCAGGCGCTGCGATGGCCAAAGAGCGGTGCTATTGGCGGTAGCGGCGGGCAGAGGAATGAAAAAAAGAAGCCTATGACTGACCATTACGCCGGTGGCGGTGTCGTCTGTGGCCGAAAGAGCGGTGCTGGCGGTGAGAGTCATATCCCGCTCAAGGTCAGATCCCGTTCAAGGTCAGCGGGGGCTTGGCTGCGGTTATGGAACGTGATTGGCCGGACGACGTAGAATCTTCGCCGTCCGAGAGACATCGAACGCAGGGATAGTCATTTATTGAGGCCTCCAAAGGCGAGGGCGAGAACATTGTCCGTTGGCAGTGGTGACGGTGGCGAGAACATGCAGTTTCGACGAGAGCGGTGGTGGCGTATTGGCCACACGCTGGGAATAAGTGAACATAAGGGGAGAGAGGTGATCGAGATTTGGCCATGCGGACGGCTGTCCGGAAGGGTTACCCGGGGGAATAGCCGGAGGGGAGGGGAGCGAAAGGAGAGAGAGAGAGAGAGAGAGAGAGAGAGAGAGAGAGAGAGAGAGAGAGAGAGAGAGAGAGAGAGAGAGAGAGAGAGAGAGTCAAAGGGGTGTGCCGATGGGGTTGGATATGTTGACAGATGGCCCCTCGTTAACTGACCACGGCCCGGCTCCATTGGACCACCCGGTTCAATCAATCGCACCACCCGGTCTAATCAATTGGACCTCGGTCTAATAAACCAGCGATAGGTAGGGACAGGACTTAGCAGCTGGTGCATCGGGGCTCTGTTGATGAATCTGTGACCATCTAATGTTAATTAGTGTGAACGTCGATATCAGATTTCCGAGCGCGCGGCAGTGTAAGATGTAGGGTTTTGGCGAGGCAAACATGAAGCAAGAAAAAGGGGAATATGTGGCCATGTTAGATGAATCACAAGGTTTTATTGGGGCTTCAGTCGGTCGGCGAGAAAAGACAGCCTCATTTATCGTCATTGATCACTAGTCAGCTTGATCATTTGGAGAATGCCTGTTAGGCATAACCGCCAGTTGTTTTTATGTTGAGAATTCTGTTTGTATTCATTTCCCTTGCCTTCTTTTTCTGCCTTCGTCGTTTTATGCCTGAGGTCTTTCACGTCAAACTATCTCAATCAAACTATGTCATTGTTTTTGTCACCTCCGCAATTGTTTTTGTCACCTCCTGACCACGCCGCGATATAGCATCGTTGCTGGTGCGCCCTTAAACACCAAATCATCATCATCATCCTCACCACGCCTCTTTGCCCCACGTCTGTCTGTCTGTCTTTCTTGTCTGTCTACCTGTCTGTCTCTGTCTGCCTGTCTGTCTGTCTGTCTGTCTGCCCGCCTGCCTGTGTTGCATCTGCTTGTCTGTGTTCGTCTATATTTTCGCGCCGTGTCTACCGTGTTGTGGCAGGGATTAGCTAGGATGGGTGTACCCACCGATAAAAAGGATATTAACGCCCGGTCCCATGAAGGCACTGTTTGCTGAAGAGCCTCATTATGGGGACTGACGTCAGCTGTCTGGTGGAGCAGAAGGTCGTCGGTTCAATTCCAGGAATGGAATATGTTGACCTTTTAGATATGATTGAAAATGTTAGTCGTGTGTAAAACGTGTGATGAAAACTAAAAAACTGGTCAGTTTTGGAGAAGTTCTTTTTTAAAACCTTGCAGGTCCTTTTCTTCAACAGAAAACATGAAAATGAAAGAAACGGAGCGTCTGTGTCCTAAAAGTACCTAAATTTCAATTTCAAAAGGGTTAGGTAATGGTTCTTTTAAATATTTCTCAAGAACCACTCATTCAGCTAAGTCTACCTAATTTTCCTCGAAGTTGATGGTCAGATGAACGTATTTTCAGCTTCAGTTTTGTAAACTTTTGTTTTGGCGTCTGATTCGAACACCGCCTCTGAACGGGTGCACTTGGCATCGGTCCAAACGCACCCCCCCCCCCTTCCCAATCCCCGCCCCGCTCCCCACTCGGCCCGGCCAGCGCCCGCGGCTATCAGCTGACCGGTCACCCGCCAGGTCAGCCTGGCCTTGGGTCAGCAGGCGGTCCGCAGGCAGCGGTAGGCCGCAGCACAATGCCTGCAGCTTAGACCGAGATATGTGGTTTCCTTGCATTTTAAATTAAAACTTTGCGTTCCTTATTCATAAAAGCTAAACTCATACCTTCTTTTTTCGACCCACACATAGATATTCCAGCATTTTCTTGCATACTAGATTTTCGAAGAAACGCATTTCAGACGTCTTATGAATGGTTTCTGCTCCTACTCATTCACAGTCATTTTACTCACACAAATAGGTACCATTTTTCTGGCATTTTAGGCGTCTAAAGAAACTCACTTATTCATGGTAACTGCATTATTTCGTTCATTCTTCACTCGATTCGTATCAATAGCATGTATTTTCTCTCCACAGGCGGCGAGCAGCCCCGGGAACAGCCTTCTCAGTCCGTGGACACGACGGATGAGGCCCGCGACGGAAAGAAGAAGCGTCAGAGACGCCAGCGCACGCACTTCACGTCACAGCAGCTGCAGGAACTTGAGTCGACGTTCGCCAGAAACCGGTGGGTCGCGGGCTCGAATCCTGATAGGGGTATGGCGTTCTTCAAGGGGTTTATTATTTGTTGGTGATTTTTGCTTAATTGAAGAAGCTTCTGTGGTTTCTGTAGTGTAAGGGAAGTTTTGCGATAATTGACGGGAGCTGTTTAAAGGACAATACACTGACTCCGTGGGATAGAACCGTCCCCAACTTTGAATGCGCCCTATTTAATCAACGTCGGCACAAAATCACCTTTAATTGGGTCCCGGACTCTAAGTTGACAGTTATTGGACACCGCTTGGTCTTGCGTAGTTCATTCATCGCCCACCTAATTTTTGCAGCTTAGAATTCAGCGATACATTTGTAAAGTCTTGTTCTCGCATTCAGAGGAATAGTCCATATTAGCAGACCTGAGGCCAGTTTTACCAACAGAAAAATAGCAGCCCGGCGCAATTTTTCTGTCAAAAACCAGCCGACGAGTTTCACCAACCAGGCGAAAAAATATCCGCCGGCGTGAAAAAATATCAGCCAGAAAAATAGCCAATGAGTTTCACCAACGGCAAATGCGGCATTAATGGAGTGTTATTTTGCGCCATTATTTGTAGAAAAACAGCCCAAAAAATAGACGGGCGACCCCGTCTATTTTTTTGATGTCGTGTTGGAACAATTGGCCTCATTTGTTACTAATTATCGTGATTTGCGCTTCCCAGTTGATATAATAATTTAGTATCATTCATGGCCAATTTGTAAAGCATCTGGGCTTCAAGATTAGAAGAGGAATACTGATGATATTGCGTAAAGGAAGAGCCTTTGTCACCAGGCAGGACCAAAAGGAACCAACAAGACTGGTGTTTGGTGTTGTGGTGTTAGTTTTTTTCGTTTATATTATCTTTTTGCTACAAGCACCCAACAGCAAGATGATAGCACATTATTAACTAGTGGTCAGCTTACAAGTTCATTGCTCGTGCGAGTCGCACGGAAGTGGAAAATAATGATGGAAGATCATTTTCGAAAATTGAAGGTGCTTGAACAAATGCTGGAAGGAGAGGCAGAGAGGGTAGGCTCATTGGACTCAAGATTTTAAATAAATATGTCACTGTTTTCACATATTCAGCTACATTTGACAATGCAAGGCGCCAACTACTGATACCACTACTACTTTTGGGTGGAACTTACTTGAGCTGTGCGGAATAGGGAAGGTGCAATTGACATGGCTAAGACCAAAATGGCAAGATTTTCAAGATCAATGACTAAATTTAAAAAAAGAAATTGAATAGCATGAAAGAAATGTATAAAGGCTTGTTTTTGAAGCCAAACGTGCAAAGTTTGCATGGTTGCGAACCCGAACAAACTTGCTGTCATAAGATTGTGCCACTGAACTCAGCAAGTCATGCTGCCAATATTGAAGGAAAAGAAAATAATAGTAATGTTGTAAAATGTAAATGAATCCATAACTGTTGTGTGTGCACTGTGCTGATATTGAATGCATGTGTATCTTGCTTGCATGAGTCATGCAGGGATCATGTTAAAACTGGCTGTAAGTATTGTGAGTTAGTTTAGCAAAATTGTGGAGGCACCAGGCAATTTGCGGCCGAAATGTTATTTGTTCACCTCAGCGCTGAAATTTCTGCTCACAGAGTTTTCAGATCATGCGCCGAAATGTTCATGCAGCCCATCCGTTACACTGGTCATGTTGACAGTGACAAGGATTTCTTCCCAGTCTCATGTTGAAATACAATAATAATTCACTTAGCTTGATTTTAGCTTCTGTTTTTCATGCCAGTTCCTAGAATAAAGCAGCCAATATTTTCTGTCATGTGAAAAATATAATAACACTATGCACAATTGCAGGCTGTGGCATGTTGTGAGGTTTTTCCTTGTCTATTGCTGAGGTTTTTCCAGTCTCTGCTGCAAAAACGGTGATGAATCCACCATCGTCCGACGGTTTCGATGACGCCAATCATCGGCGAGTGTTGCTGTGATGGCCGACCTGACTGAGCGCACAGCGGCAGCCGCCGTCGCCAATAACGACAGTGAGGACACCTCCGAGTCGGACGGAGACGCCGCCGCTGACGACTTCACCGTGCTGGACGAGGTGGAGCGCTCGAGCCGACAGACCGTGCACCGCGTGCGCTGCCCGACTGGCTGGCGCACCTGCAGCCGATTGGCGACCGGCGGCCGGCGCCGGCCAATCTGCCGGCGCTCTACCCCGAGCTGCGCGCCCGGCTGGCCGCCGAGGGCATCGAACAGGTGTTCCTGGTGCAGGTGACCGTGCTGCCCGAGCTGCTGGCGGCCGCAGAGTCGCCACTGCAACCGGCCGACCTCTGAGTCTCGGCGCCGGCCGGCCGCTCGGTGCCCGCCGTGTTCCGCCAGTACGACGCCGACACGCCGCTCTGCGTCCAGCTGCTGGGTGGAGACACAGTGGCACGAGGGGGCGCCAACTGGTGGCGGTGGGGCCGCGCGGCCCGGCCTCCCTGGCTGATCGTGGTGAGCACTCCCGGCTGGCTGATGGATCACATAACCAGCGCCGAGGGCTTCTCGCTACCGCACCTGCGTTACCTGGTGATCGACGAAGCAGACCGGGTGATCGAGATGGCCGACACGGGCTGGCTGAAAGCGGTGGAGCGGGTGGCGGCGGCCACGGCCCGCCGCCCTGCATCGCCGGCCGGCTGACGGCCGTCGCCGTCTGCGCGCCTCACCTGCCACTTCAGAAGCTGTCATTCTTGGCCACCCTGTCACAGAACCCGGAGGCCGGAGAAGCTGGAGCGAATGTCGCTGTTCCAGCCGCGACTGCTGGTGGTCGGCACGGCGGCCGCCGCCGTCGCACTGCCCGGTCAGTTCGTCGGCAGGTTCACCACGCCGGCCGAGCTGAGCGAGTCGTTCAACGTGGTGGCGCCGCAGCCGCTGAAGCCGCTGCTGATGCACCATTTGCTCCGACAGCCCGACTGGCGACGCTCGCTCGTGTTGTGTTGGTCAACTGGAACGAGGTGGCGCACCAGCTGGAGCTACCGCTGTCTGTGCTGGGCGCGCGCGTGACTGAGTTCTGTGGGGTAGTGCCGGCGTGCCGGCGGCGGCGCGCGCTAGCTGAGATGGCCGCGCTGGTGTGCTCGAGGCTATAGCGCGCGGTATTGACGTGGACGCCGTGGACGCGGTCGTGTCGTACGACATCCCGGCGCTGTTGAAGACGTACACTGCGTGCGTCGGACGGCGCGCATCCGCCGGGCCGGCCAGGCGGTCAAGCTAATGTTGGAGCGGCAGCGCAGCAATTTCCAGCGGCTGATGGTGCAGGCGGGCGGCCGGGTGCGGGAGACGCTGGCGCTGCTGGACGAGCTACGAGCTGCGCCAGTACGAGGCGACCTACGTCAGTGGATTTCCACACTAGCTTCTAGTGGATCGCTGTTGTTTTTTATGCTCATTGCTCATGATTTATTTACATTTTAGAAATATTGCAATGAAATAGATGTATGCCTTGTCATCAGCCTAGAAAAGTTAAAGTAAGTAAAGCGTTTTAGTTGCATAATGTATGTTTGTTCATGAGCACGGATTTAACATGTCCTTACTCCCAAACATTTCGATATTAGACCCGAGTTACAAACCAATCGAAAGGCTTAGACGATCATTTGGGGCGTAGCCAGACGGCTCGGCTGGGTGTGAAAGCCGGCGACCAAGGTGGTAACCACCCGATCATAATGCACAGCGGTCTCCGTCGGACGATTGTGTCCGCGCGCAACGAATGATCTGGGCACACGCAGAGGAGTTCGGCAGGACTCTCCACTGAGCGGTACTGGGCGCAGTCGAACGACGGTCGACGACGCTAGCGCAGGTATTGTTAATTTGTTACGACTTACGAGCCGGACCAGTGTAGCGGGCCCGGAGCAAATATTCTTTGCTGTTTGGCGTTCCTTCTTCTCGACCGGGCCCGGCAAACGGGGTCTGCATATCGGCTAAAACCACCTAGCCGGGCAGTCTGACCTCCACCTCGCCGAAGCGGAGCGAACGACGTACAGCCCTCAGCAGACTGCGTGGTAGGTATTCTTTTTTCGACAAAACCAGTAATAACTCAAAGATCATGTTATCAGTCGGTCGGAACTCACTGCAACTAGATGCGCCATGCTCCACTCCTTCGATTGGGTCTATCACTAAACAAAGTAGATGCCTTGTGTGGCAACAAAATGCAAAAGTTTGTTTTTGGGGCAAATATCAACTTTTGGGTTTTGCTGCCAAACTGGATGGAAAATGAGTACGATGGTAATGCCAATCCAAGGTGCAAAGTCTCCCTTGTCTTGCTGTTACGATTTCCGAGTGACCGATAGCATAGTATCCGCGTTATTCTCGGTTTTGTCGAAAAAAGAATACCTACCACGCAGTTTGCAGAGGGCTGTACCCTCAGCCCTGCAATGACCGCGGTGCAGCAGTTAATCTGGGTAGGTATTTTCCTAAGGTAAGACACTCGCCTTTGCACAATGCTTTACATATATAGGCCTTGGCGAGTTCGTTAGCCCTCTTACTCCCGCGAGAAGGTGCTAATGCAGTGCACGCGAAGCCGCCTCGTAGCACCGCAGTTCAACTTCAATCGCTCGGCAGCGAAACTGTCCGTCGTCCGTCCAGCTTCAGGTGGCGTCTCTGGGAGCAATGTTGACCGCTAATTTGCCGCTCTTTTGAAAGCTAGGAAAGAGGTGCGGCTCCCGCATCTGTCGGGAGTGGGACTCATAGGCGGCGGAACGGGTAGGGCACCGGGGCACCGTGCCCCCCTTTGATTTTGACATTTTAATATTAGCCCTATGGGCGTTGCATGGAAAGAATGGGACCAAAAGTCGGCAGTGCCCCCTTAATTGAAGGTGTTCCGCTGCCACTGGAGTGGGTCTCATCTAGTCCCCACCTCATAGCTGGAGGTCCACACATTGCGTTCTCGGTCTACACGATGATTTTCTACAAGGTGCGACTAAAAACAGACAAAAAGGCACATAACAAGTTGAAGGTATTGTAAAAATTAATATAATAGGCTGACAGGAAAAAAGTTCCATCTTAAATTTGCCTTAAATGCAAGCTTCCTTACGTCACCTTTATGAATGACGTGCCTACGTTAACAATTTGGTAGTTTTGTATTGTATTGGCTTTTGCTGGGCACCAGAATGTTAATATAGATATGAAAGTTTCTAATGCTCTACTTTGTTGTTTTTACTCTTGAAAATAATGCAATAATTTATGATTATAATATTTCGAAATGTATATGGCATTTGCATTAGAAATCACGCTTCAATTTGATTGAAAACATGCTTTAAATGATTTATTAATCTCCTTGACATATCGTAATTTGATATCGTAACAGAATATCAGCTGACTACCGGCGACAAATAATTTCCGTCCGAAGTCGGCTGGAATTTTTTGTTGGTGAAACTCGTGGCTGTGTGGCGTCTATTTTTTCGGCTGGATATTTTATTTCGGCGGCCGGCTGGTATTTTTTGGTAAAACTGGCCTCTGACTCGGAGGAAACCATGAGTTGAGTCGTTGACTCGTTACCAATCACATCTTGGCTTTTGCCTACATTACTGAACCGTTAACCTTAACTTCACTCAATTAATTTGCAACTTGCAACATTACTTGCACCCTGGCTCTTCTCCTCGGAGTCCCCTCACCCCTCAAATTTCATACTCACACCCTTACCGCGACCCTCCCATCCCCTATCTTCACTGAAGTTCCGAAGAACCCGGAGCTCGGGTTCAAATTTCGATCGTGTGGGTGGGACGCTTTCTGGGTAACGCAGAACGCCCGCCACTTGGCTATGAAGCCGCGATGGGGGGTCTGAGGGGAGGGGGAGAGGAAGGTAGTTCCGGGTCGGATAGTACTATCGCGTCGGCTCGCGAGGTTTTATCGTACCGAAGTAGTTGCGTTCCCACCGCTCGCTCGCTCGCTCTAAGGACATTGGCGATCTATTGGTGCACCTGTTATATGGGTCTGATTCATCGGCGGCTACTGTTGCAGATTGTGGCACTTGATTTGGGTGTTAGTTAAGGAAGTGCATTGTTTGGGGATGTTTGGGAATGAATAGTATGGAAAAGGCTGCTGTAGTGCATCTATTGCCCTTGCTTTTGCTTGTCATACAAGTTACATGCCCTACTTGCTTCCAATATGCACAACTTGCTATGGAATTTATTCGAGCATTTTGTCAAACACTCGTGACAAGATTAGAGCCTTTTTTGTCCTTTGTCATACATTCAGTAGAATGACGATTAATTTTTATCAACCATCTTTGATGAATTAGTTAATATACGAATCAATGAGACGTCTTCAATAATAACTGTCGTCTGTTTTCAGGTATCCCGACATGAGCATGCGGGAAGAGATTTCGCTGTACACAAACCTCTCCGAGGCCAAAATTCGGGTAAGTAAAACTTGTCTTTGATAAAAACGTCACGAATAGCCACAATTACCAAATGGGCTCTTATTATGTAGGATAGCTACCGCTTGGCATTGACTGAGTTTTCTGATTTATTCTTGATTTCGTCCTTGTTATGCCGTGATTGACTTTACAAGCATTAGCTGCGTTTTTTTTTTTTTTAGCGTAAGCGTTTCAAAGTCATTTCTCCAATCCCTATACCCACTGCAAAAAGTTTTGTCACCTTTGTTTTTACACCCATTCATTCTTTCTCTACATTCTCATTCATTTCTATCTTTTCCCATTCATTCTAATTCATTCGAATCTTCACCCGTCCGTTACTTGTTAGTTGTTACCCATTCATTTCACCCCAATCCGCTGTTTTTCGTGCCCTTTGACATCCCATCTAAAACCGGACATCTGTTTTCGCTTCTGTCGCCACCCGTTCGCCCCATACAATGTTCCCTATTTTATCCCCTGCAAGTTATCACCACCAAACCAATTACTAATTATATCAGCTCATATGTCGTCCCCATAGGGCCACTAATTAGATAATTCCGGCGCCAATCATACAACCGGCCTGTCTCCCCTCAATCTCTCTCATCTCCCCTCGTTCTCTCCTGGCTCTCTCGGCCCCCTCCCCCCCCCCCCGCCCCCGGCAACCCGCCGACCCCAGTCCCTCTAACTAAGAGTGTCAGATATTCAACACCTAGTTTGCAGAACATCGCAGCAGAGTTGTTGGTTTGTCTGTTTATGTGTGAAGGTGTCTGCGGTTTGTGCATCAGTGTCTTTTTTCTCCTTTAGTCTCTCGCGCTTTCTGGCTCGCGTGTAGGTAGGTATATGTGTGCTGTTTCTCTTTTTTTTCCTCTCTCTCTCTCCCTCCCTCTCGCTCGCTCTCGCTCCCCTCTCTCTCCCTCTCTCCCTCTCTCCCTCTCTCCCTCTCTCTCTCTCTCTCTCTCTCTCCCTCCCTCTCCTCTCTCCCTCTCTCTCTCTCTCTCTCTCTCTCTCTCTCTCTCTCTCTCCCCCCTCTGATGTGTCCGTGTAAATCGCTGCTACCCAGCGGCCGCCCCCGAGGCAATGAATGTTTCACGCAGGCCCATTGATATGTTAATTGGTGGCACCCTGCCGTGCCGTGGTTATCATTGACTTTGGTAGGCGCGTGCGGCCAGGGGCGTGCACAGGACGGGGGAGGGCGCGCAGGACAGGGGTGCGCACAGGACAGGGATATCCAGGAACATGGCTTGGGCTCGGGGCAGGGGTGTGCGTAGGGACCTAGGGAGGGTATATCCGTGTGACACTGGGGTGGGAGCAAAGAGATGCGCTCTAGAAAGATGGAACAGAGAATTTTCTGGGTAAAATATGGAAATGGACTGTTTGAATATCTTGATATTCAGATTTTGATACTTTTTCTATTCCATCTAAAAAAAAAACAGAGAAAATCATTTTTGCCGCATACTCTTCTAGTTCAATTCAATCACATGATTTGAAAAATATTGACCTTGTCGCTGTATCCCTTTTTTGTTCGCTTGTTCAACATCTCTACAACATACTCGTATTTTACACCTTACACCTATCAAGCTCGAAGTTCATCATGTTCTTGGTGAAACACACACGTTTTGTATATATCTCTCTCTCTCTCTCTCTCTCTCTCGCTCTCTCTCTCCCTTGCTCTCTCGCTCTCTCGCTCTCTCGCTCTCTCGCTCTCTCGCTCTCTTGCTCTCTCGCTCTCTCACTCTCTCACTCTCTCACTCTCTCACTCTGTCTCTCTCTCTCTCTCTCTCTCTCTCTCTCTCTCTCTCTCTCTCGCTCTCTCTCTCTCCCTCTCTCCTTCCTATCACGAGTAACGACACATTGTCACCTCCGCCACGTTTCGTATTATCAAGTTATCATACGCATTCCCCTTGTGAACCATTATATCACATCTCCATCACCCGCGCCGCGGAGTGATTTGAATTTATGACGTCATTTTGGATTTATTACGTCATAACCACCCTGTTATGGTCGACATTGGGATAATATTGTTATTAGTTGTCATATGACATAAAGTTAAACGACACCATATTGTGGTTTTGTGACCTGATGGAAGTCAAGTCAATGTCGTAGCTGGAGTTACGATGTTTATAAACGAGTTTTGTAAATGAAGTGTTAATGAAGAGAGAAGGGTAGGTAATGGCATGATGAATGGTTTGCGATAATTGACTCCAATAGAGAGTGGAGGGATAATATGACATGTGGCTAACATAATTTGTGAAAATTATTATGTTTGGTTGATTTGACGAAATTACAAAACCGCAGCCCACAAGGGAAGCCAATAGCTTGGCATATGGTGCTCAAGACAATAATGGTATTTCCACTTCGATGAAAACTCAGCGAGCTGTTGATGCGTTCGGTTGGATAGGGGTGCGATATCAGATAATTAGGACAGTTCTAATTACGAGCGGGGTTGTGTTGATATGTGGATCAGCGATCCCATAAGCGCATTTTACCCGTCGGTGTAATTGAAAATAAATGCTTCTTCTCTTTGGGTTTGGGGACAATCGAAAAGTGAACCACGTTCATAAAAATAACGCTAGTGGTAGGCACATTAAATGCAGTGCGTGGGCATTGGACAAGCTCCTTTCTCTCTCTCTCGCTCGCTCTCTCTCTCTCTCTTTCCCCTCTCCCTCTCTCCCTCCCCCTGCTGACAGCCCCGCGGCGCCACCCCGGGCGGTCACTGCGGGAGGCCCGTTTGATGAACGCAGTAAGGTGCCAATGATATATCGCACGGATGACTGCCGCCTGCCGCCGAGCTGATTGTTGGGGAACGGTGGGGACATTGAGGTATAAATAAAATGGTGTGAATTAGATATGTCAATCGAATACACACTTTTGGTACACCTATACTAAACCGATGTCAACTTGATATTTGGTGTTTAAAACCAAATGTATTTGATATTTTGTTGGTATTATAAGGCACGCCATGGTATAGTTTGTCCGTACTCTTAATTGTTTTCTGAGTTTTCCCAGTCCCTTCTTAGCTTGGCACCTGTCCCGCACCTTATGAGCGATTCTCACGCCTGCGGTAACTTCAAAGCGATAAATTCTCTTTGATCCACCGCCACCAGTGGTCTCTTCACACCAGACACGCTGGCGCCTGCGAGAGAAAATAAATATAACGGTGGTTATCTGGAGATATCTACTGATAAGTCTCCATTTCTAGTGATATCTTCTGATAAGACGCCATTTCTGTGGTATCTGATGGCATTTGCGGATGTAAGCACTGAGCAGGATGTTCACACGCAGATATATTGGTGTTTGGTGGCGATGATGTGGCGTTCTGTGGCGAAAATGGAGAGAATCTGCTGATTCAGCGGATGTGGGAGGGGGGGGGGGTGCTAAAACAGCTGCATCTCCGTTCAGCTTGAGTTCAATTTTGTAAAGCAGCATGCATTGTAAATGAATGCCTTGATTCTTTTTATGAGCGATGTAGTTTGGGGGAACATAGAAACCTTTTTACCCTGGGTTTTGCCAAAAACGTTATAAGGCTAGTTAATTCCAGGTATGCCGATACGTAGCGGTGTCATTATTTCATTAGCATTGGAACTTTGTTTGGAGGCGTTTATGTTTAGGTGCAATACCGAGTCATGGACCAACCCACTGAGTGCGTGGGTGATGCATGACCCCCCCCCTCTCCCCCACCTTTACTGACTGACCCACACGAACTCTCCACTCAAGTAGACGGCAGGGGGGGGGTGGAGTGGGCGCATTGCAACCCCCCCCCCCTCTCCCGGTCCTTCAAGATAGGACTCCATCTTAGCTCGTCAAGTGGTGGCTATGCACCCCAGAGTGGCAAGATTATCACATGTCTGTTCCGTGCAGTGAGTGATCTAGAGTGGCCAGATTATCACATGTCTAGGCCCGTGCAGTGGATTGATAGCTAGGTAAATAGTGTTGATACCAGCCACGTTTGCTCGTACTGCCGACTCCGATATGCAATGACAGATGGGGGGAGGGGAGGGGGAATAAGAGCTGCTGGATTTTAGGGAGCAGTTACACGGTGCGTTATAAAATTTTACCCGAATTAGGTATATGACGGAGCTTTTACCCGAATTATTCCGAATTATCTTCAACAACAGGCTACTGAAGATGCAACTCAAATTTGATGTAAATGTGGGGCATTTTTACAACTGTCAACGATAGCAACACTAACCTTTCTATTGAAATTCGAAACTCATCCACAGCATATCACGGTTGTATTTTACCTAAATTTATTACTTATTCAAAAAATTAAATCACAAAAGACCTACATTCATTAGTAGCATGGTCTCCAAAAATCCACATATCCTGCAGCTCTACCACCGTCCTGTTCTCGCAGTTGTCACAAACGCGCCGCAGACCGCAGACGTCTGCTGGTTTCTCTGATAATGGCACGGTCTTTGTGTTTGGCGGTGTTTCTGATACGCGATACAGGTGAGTGACAGGTGTGGAGATAGGGGGCGGAAACATGAGACGAAACGCTGGGGGATGTGGGGATGGGGATGGGTAGGGTATGGGGTGGAAAGGGGACGGATTGTGCGAGAGGCAGACTGGGAACTTTGGGACGGTAAGGGCCATAACGAGTCTACGGGCGAAAAAAAAAAATGACAAAGATAATGGAAGTTGTAGACACTCCCTATAGGTACCGGTTTCCAGTAAAATGTCTCCATATCTCACCTGTCACTCAAGCGTCTCGCTTTCCTCGTTTGTTACTTGAAACTCATCACTCCTATAATTTTTATTGCTCACTCCTCACTCTTAGATTCGTGCTGCAAGCCTGCAAGGTTTCTTCAACAATGCTGTCTGATTTTGTCATTATTATTTGCGGTGCATTGTCAGAACAATACCTAGAGTTGGCTCATGCTCAATCGAAAAAAGCATCCTTCGACCATTCATTCACTAAATGCTTCTCAAGTGTATCTCCTTTCTACTCTTGAAGACGCATCCTCAAAGACCACCACCTAAGTAAAACCTCTCGACGTCGAGGATTACCAACGCATTACCCGACTATTAGGACACAGATTATCGGTTTGAAGATCACTTGTAACACATTAGCGGGTGTATTTACACGGAAGCTGTTAGCAATGGCAATTGAATTGAACCTTGGCTGGTAGTGTGGGCTGTATGGTGCTATTTTTAGAGTCAATTGATGAATGTGATGGTAGGGAGATTCACCCGAGTTAAAATATAAATCAGCCGCTTGATGTTGGAGGCAAAATGTGATTTGGAGAAGCTCAAACGACTAAAAAAAGAATAGTACTATTTCGCCTCTTTTTATAAAAATCTCCCTTACAAAGTTGTACTTTTTGTAGGGTACGAGTGAGTTTAGATGAGGTTTTATATATGATGGGTTCTTCTCCGTTTCGCTGATGTGACTATAATGCTTTACTTATGCTACACTACCTGCTTTAAAAAATATAAAACCATAAACGCATGGTGCTTTATTTTGCTTTCATCGTCTCAATACAATAACGAGTGCAATAACGAGGCTGTCATTTCGACAATAAGCCTGTTGTCATCTCAGCAACAACCGAAACTACACTCCCATTGGGCCTTTCTCATCAACACATACGCCATAACATGTAATACTGCAGCCCCCACCAGTAGCGGCGGAACACCTTCAATTAAGGGGGCACTGCCGACTTTTGATCCCATTATTTCCATGCAGCGCCCATAGGGCTAATGTTAAAATGCCGAAATCAAAGGGGGCACGGTGCCCCGGTGCCCTCCCCGTTCCGCCGCCTATGGCCCCCACTCTGACCATTTGACAAGAGCTCAACTTGGCGATCTTTCTTGACAGAGCGCTTCAAGTAATTCCCGGTAGCTTATCATGCACATGTCAACTCCACTAAAGCTCCCTCTCTGTCAGTGTGAAGTGCCCAGCGGTGCTGACGGTGGCGGCGATATATAAGTTATATTTGTATTATTAATAAATGTTGCATGATGCAATACGAGTATAAGTGTTGGAACATAAAGGTGTTATATAGAAGTTCAATGAACTGTAAGTTGGTATGGTCAATTTGTGTGTTTCTTGCAAAGAATGTGCTCATGATGTATACAGAGGATCGGCGCTAAATTGAAAGAGATTATGCGTAGGCGTTACTGCGATAGACATGTTGACTTTTTGAAAATACGTTCACAAATAATGATTCCATCAGCATTTTCTTGGATTGAGACAAGACAAGAACTGAAATATGAAATAACACCCATAAAAATCTCAGCCAATCTCATGTAACTAAAGAGCGACGGACGTAACATTGAAGTCTACTTAGGTTTTTTCCTCTGCCGCACGAGTCCTGTGTATACGAGGTCTCATACGAGGACTTACATGCAAACACTGGTATGCATGTAAGCGCAAGAGGAAGAGCGTGATGGAGAGCGTGGGAGAGAGAGGGTTAGAATAGAGAGCCTGGAGTGGGGGAGAGAGGGGTAGAGGAGTGGGGGGATCAGGGCAGAGGGGAGGGGATTCAGACGCCAATACACCTGTCAACATCGACCCAATCGAAACTCATGTTCTGATTAGGTTATCTCAAGTGGCCTAAGTCGCGTCAGCTACCGAATCCGGGCTCCGAGCGAGCGGTGGAGTGGTTGGGTTGACCAAGGGGACCGGGTACCGTAAAGTGGGGCTATTTGAGACAGTGGGGCTATTTGAGACAGTATTTAAAATCGCTACAAAATGAAGATCGTTTGATTTTTATGTGATATTTTTGCTCAGGAAGGTGTGGAATCGACCAGTAAATCGGCTGAGCAAAAATTAAGCATAAATTTCAAACGGTTTTTATTTTATAACAATTTTAAATACTGTCTCAAATAGCCCCACTGTCTCAAATAGCCCCACCTTACGGTACTGTAAACGGACCGAGAAAGTATATGAACGGGCTGAACTGAGTGGGCGGGAGAGGCGATGTCTGAAATTCTGATGCAATATCTAGCTTATAAATGATGTAGGATTGCTATTCATTTTGCAGTATGTAGATGTAGATATAAAGAGTAGATGTAACTTGGAACGATTGAGATCAAGATGTTGAGATATCCAAACCTGTTTTTATCAACACCGGTGAATTATGATATCCTGTAGCATGTCGTATGTCTTCTCTCTCCCCTCTCTCTCTCTCTCTCTCTCTCTCTCTCTCTCTCCCTCTCTCTCTCCCTCCCTCTCTCTCTCTCTCTCTCTGTCTCTCTCTCTCTCTCTGTCTCTCTCTCTCTCATCTCATCTTCACTCTACCCCTCTCCTCGTGCCAGATCGGTCCCCATGGGGCGTCATTACACAAATGATATAGCTCAGAGAGAGCACCTGCTCCTAGTAGCCATCTGAACACACGCACACACGCAACACATACGCGCACAGGACGGGACACACGCACACACACGTAGACGAAGTCGGGCTTGATCAGATATAGACAATAGACATGGAAGGGGAGGTAAAAGAGATAGGCCAAAGACCCAGAATTTAATGTTGGTTCCTAAAATTTGGTATCCTAGGTCCAATGATAGGTCATTAAGTTCAGTATCGGAAAAGGGTTTCTCAACTTTATAACGTGGCGCCGCTGCTTAATAACAAAAAGACATGGTAAAGTGCGTCTTATTTGTCCCAAAATAATGCCTTATGATCATAATACATTGTAATAAGCCAAATTATATTTGACGTATAATAATCGGATAAGATGTCACATGGGAATATTGGCTATTGCCATCGATACCCTCTCTTTCTGAGAACTGACCATTGATAACCAGTTTCACTCGCGTTTCCTCAGAACTATAGCCGCCATCTCGGTGTCAAAATATTTACTGTCAGTATTGACATGCGTGTCGTGTGTAACTAAACGATAGACGTTCGGCTCTGAGATAGATGTCTGTGAGGAATGGACCAGCCGACAGGTCCGCTGTGGGGTCTGGCTGGGTGATGGGGTGGAAGTGGGGTTTGGGGAGGATGTGAGTGGGATATAGGAAGGGTAGAAAAGAGTCCTGGGAGTATGGAGTGACGTAGGGATGGGGAGGGAGTAGCTAACTTAGTGACTTGTAAAGAATCAATGGTATGAGGTGCAAGAGGTGGGAAATGGTAAAATGTTGGTAGGTACTGGATGCTAGGATTGGTCTGGAAAACGTCTGGTTCTGGAAGATCAAGTGTAAGCACTAAGCAGGCTTTGTGGAAGGAATTGAGCTGCATGAGGAACATCTAAGCGCGCTCTCTCTCTCTCTCTCCCTCTCTCCCTCTCTCTCTCTCTCTCTCTCTCCCTCTCCCTCTCTCTCTCTCTCTCTCCCTCTCTCTTTCTCAGTCTCTCTCTTTCTCTCTTCCCGCAGATCTGGTGTAAGAACCACCGTGCAAAGTGGCTGAATCACAGCCTTTGTCTCCTGTGTCATATACTGCGTAATAGATAGCTTTGACTTACTTTTTTTAATCCTCTCTCTCAGTCTCTCTCCCCCAGATCTGGTTCAAGAACCGCCGCGCCAAATGTCTGAATCACTAAGCCATTTGTCCACCGCACCTAACTCTATCTAACCTTCTCCCTCTCTTCTCTCACAGATCTGGTTCAAGAACCGGCGCGCCAAATGTCTGAATCACTAAGCCATTTGTCTACCGTGCGTAACTCTATCTATCTAACCCTCTGCCTCTCTTCCCTCACAGATCTGGTTCAAGAACCGGCGCGCCAAGTGGCGCAAGAGGGAGCGTAACGCGATGGTCATGATGAACTCCGATATCAAGGGCTCCTTCGGCGGACAGCTCAACGGCTTCATGCAGCCGTTTGGCCAGCCGGACGCTGCGCTATACTCGGGCTATCCAGGCTACCAGAACTGGGCTACTAAAGTGCCGTCCCCACTGGCTCATAAACCCTTCTGGCCGGGGTTTGATGCCGGTGTGAACCCGCTGGGCGTGGCCAATCAGGTGAGAGAGGCGGGATGACGTCATTGTGGGGTTGGGGAGGGGTGTCAGTGGAGGAAAGATGATTGTTGAGGGGTGGGTGGAGGTCTGGGTGTTATATTAATGACGCTTTTCAACGGAACATTGGCAAGTTAATTAGTTTCAGTTCGCTTACTATATTATTAACATTTGTCGAAAAATAAGTTATAAACAGTTTTATATTGTTGAAGTGTAAAAAGATTGTTTTCCTTTATGGAACATATTTTATTATCATGATAAGCCTTATCATGCTCTAATGATTGATGTAGGCGTTACCTGGACTGGGATCGTATTTTGATCAGCGTTTTACTTGTTGCCACTTTTAATTCACCCCATAACTATTCTCTTCCCCTTCATTGCAACAAACTTCTTACCCCGTCCCCACCCCGTTTTCTCTCTTTCACAGTCGCCGGGCGCGAGTATCGGCATGAACTGCTTCAGCGCCCCGCCCACCGTCTCCACGTCTCCCATTGGCTCGCCCTCAATGACGTCATCACTTTCCACTTGCCCCTACGGCTCTGGCGCCTACGCCGCCTATGCTGTCCGCCCGGACCAATGCCCTTCGATGTCTTCTAGCATTGCGAGTTTGAGGCTTAGGGCTAAGCAGCACTCGGGGGGCTTTAGTGTGCCTGTGGGGGCTTATAGCCCAGCTGCGGTTAGCGCGAGGTCGCAGACTGGAAATATGGCAGCGTGTCAGTATGCGCCGACTGATAGGCCGCTCGTGTGAGGGGAAAGAGGAGAGGGGTGGGGAAGAGAGAGAGAGAGAGAGAGAGAGAGAGAGAGAGAGAGAGAGAGAGAGAGAGGAGAGAGGGAGGGGAGAGGGGGTGACCGATGGGATGGGTGGGATGAGAGGACCCTGTGACTGATGGCTAAGGAGTTTGGGAGAGGATCATGACGCGACATCATTATGGTAGGAAAGGGTAGGAGAGAGGGAAACCCTTTGACTAAAGGGAGGAGAGATGGAGGGCCTTACTCGTTAGTCGTTACCAATATATTTGTGTCTTGAGGGGGCATGAGAATCCCTGTGGCAAATTGGTGAAGGGAATAGGAAAGAGTGGTTCAAACTCCCTAACGCTCTCTCTCGTTCTCTCTCCTCCCTCTTCCCTCTCGCACCTCTGCCACAACTTGTACATAAGCCTGGTTACCATAACAACCGGAAGCGATCGACAATCGAGATGAACGAACGGTTCGCAACGACGGGCTGGCGACAGCAGCGAACCTAGCGGCAATTGTGTGTACTAGTAGTTCATTTGCAATGGCTGGGGCTGACAGAGTGCGCTACTGCCGCTGCTCCTCCCAAAGTGTGCCGTGAAAGGGGGTGGGACTGGGAGTGTTATTTGTTTCACTTTTCGCTCTATATGACTTTCCATGATGCATCCAGCACCCATTTTCCGCCCTTCAATGCTTCTTTCATCCTCTGCTGTTCATATTGCTACAAGTGTGTGTAAATAAGTGTTTATTCCATTCTCTGGTGAAAATCAACCTTGCATACCTATTCACTTTTCTCATCGCTCGCTTTCTCCCTCTTGCCCTCTCTCCCTCTTCTCTCCTCCCTCTTCCCTTCTGGGGCACGCTCGCTGGCGCGGCATTGTATGATATTAGGATAATTCCATTCGCCGTTAGCTGCGATTCCGTTTTCGACGTGTGCGTATGCTAGGCCCGATTTGCGTGTGTGTTTGCGTTAGTACGTACGATTGCGTGCAAATGTACGGTGTGCGATGCGTGCACCATATACTTGCAATGCGTGCAAATGTGCAACATGGGACAGAGAGCAGTCCCCTGCAACATGGCGCGCGTCTCTTGCAACATGCGTACACAACGTGCAATGCGTGCAACATTGCGTATAGTGCATGCGCTTGACGTGCAATGGCACACTCTGGTCTAGGAAAGCGCCAGAGAGAGACTAAACCTTGAGCTGATCGCGAATCACGACGTCTAAGCCTCTGGTTTGCCGAGAAGCTCGTATAAACTCGGACATCAGGCAACGACTGATAGCGACTTGCTGTTAGGTGTTTATATTGCTGTGTGACGTCATGGGGACAGACGAGCTTGTGACGTCATGACATGTGTGACGTCGTCTTACGCGAGAGCGAGTTGTTCTGTGTTGAACTTTGTGAGCTTCCGTGGCTTCTGTTTTGCGTCTGTTGTGCTCCCTTTTTAACACCATCTTCCCCGCCCGTACTGCTGTTTTATTTAATTTTACCGTATTTATTCACCACTATTTAAACCACTAATTTATTTTACAAACCAACCTATTTTCGTCTGTGCCATTCAATCGAAGTTTTGGATTGTTCCAAGCGCGAGGCACGACTGTTTTATTATTGGAAGATGTAATTATGAAATCACAACTCACAAACCGCAAACTGTGCCATGCTTTTAATGTGAACCCTCCTGCGAAGTTGCGGGATAAAATTGTGCCAACGAGTTTCTCAGCGATTTGTGTGTGTCCTGTAGAGCACCAATGGTGTTGCGTTTTGTATATTCCCCTTGTACGGTGCTGCTACACGAAATTTGAGCGAGTTGGACTTGTGCCAAAGTGCGGCAATCTGCCCGTTGCTATGTACTTTGAATGATGGCAGCGCTTTAAAAAAGACATCGCGTGGTTTCTTGTGAGTTGAAACGAATCGTTGTGAGCTCGAGTGTTTGTTTGATGGTAAATGAACACAGAAAAATGATGGTTTGTTGTTTGTTTGAGGATGTACGTGGAAACATTGCGATAAGATCTATTTCCTCGAAAGGATCTCTGGGTGAGCACTACAGGTTCCAGAATGACGCAAATTCTTGTTTTGATTTCGTTTTTCGTTGATATTAAAATAGGAAATGAAAAGTAATATCTGCTTAATGATAATAAAAAACTAAAAAATACTTTTCCTTGCGAGTAGAAGCGACACAAACACCACTAATAAAACTAAACATTAAAGTAGGTGATCGCAGTGACCAGTGTCTCGCACACAACTAAAGAAGCCACGTCGTCCTCAGACTCGCAACAAATAAGCACTTATGTTGTCTCTCGAATTACGACTCGTAAGCATACATCAGCTACATTTCCTAGTAACATAGCCTGCTGCCTCGAGCATTTCACAATCCACATTTCAGCAGTGGCTGTGCCGGTGCGGTCGTTGGCCAGGGGCGGTCACTGCCTCAGGCGCTGTTCCGCGGTCTGTGATTGGCTGACGTGCGACACCTGAGTCGTGTTGACGCTGTTGATTGGTTGATCATTGGTTACGTCAGCTTGACCTAAAAACTCCGGTATAGAGCTAGGTCAGCTCTTATACGGCATTGGGCGTATTAATAAATAATAAGCGGATTTGTGAGGACTGGTGGCGCTAGAGTAAAGATAATGGGCCAGACGACATAAGCATTTCTGCATACTGCGGGACAGGAGGATGGGAGGACTTCACTACCTGGAGAGGACTTTATTACGCCGGGAGAACTTATCTACGAGGACTTCGTATTACACCGGTGAGTACCTACACCTGTTTTAGAGCTGGCTTATATTTTCATGTCAATGAACAAAATGAAATGAACAAATCTCTCTCTCTCTCTCTCTCTCTCTCTCTCTCTCTCTCTCTCTCTCTCTCTCTCTCTCTCTCTCTCTCTCTCTCTCTCTCTCTCTCTCTCTCTCTCTCTCTCTCTCTCTGTCTCTGTCTCTGTCTCTGTCTCTGTCTCTGTCTCTGTCTCTGTCTCTGTCTCTGTCTCTGTCTCTGTCTCTGTCTCTGTCTCTGTCTCTGTCTCTGTCTCTGTCTCTGTCTCTGTCTCTGTCTCTGTGTCTGTCTCTGTCTCTGTCTCTGTCTCTGTCTCTAGCTCTAGCTCTAGCTCTAGCTCTATCTCTATCTCTATCTCTATCTCTATCGAGCTCTATCTCTATCGCTATCTCTATCGCTATCTGCTATCGCTATCTGCTATCGCTATCTGCTATCGCTATCTGCTATCGCTATCGCTATCTCTATCTCTATCTCTATCTCTATCCTTACCTTTACTTCTGTTTATCTACTTCCCTCTTTCCGTTTAAGTGTAGCAACTCATAAACTAGTGCAATGCACTTTTTTAATTGAAAATGCATTGCACTTAATTGGACACTTGGGTGTGCGCCTAGCTAATAAGCCGCAAAACAAAAACTATCCATAAACAACCAACGACAAGTTGACTGCTGGCATTTCAGCATCCCTGTTTACCTCTTCACGTGGTGTATTCACAATCGATCGACAAACTGTCGAGCGCAGCTCGTATTAAGCAAACATCAAGATGGAACAGCCCACCGAACGTATGAATGAGTCCATGCCCTTCCTAATTGACTAGCGACGTTTTCAATGGGCTCAGGACATGTGAACTTGACTGACGGTCTTTGAAATGTCCCAATGCTGAGTCGCTTCATTTACCGCGTCTGGAAGCCTGAAGAGCCTCTAATGTAACTGTCATCTTTCGCCAAACATCAAACCATGTTTAAACAAGCATATATTTCCAACACTTCGCCTTGCCACCAGTGACCGTTTGCCTTGCAGTTTAGTGAAATGTGCTAGCAAACAGGAAAACCCGTCATGATGACAGCACAAATTACGTGGTGACATTCCACAGCACCTGCGTCCTTTCAGAAGCCGCAGGGCAGACACGGTATTGCGCTGATGACATCGGCAAAGCAAAAGGAAGTCGTGAAACGTTTCTATGGGTGGTCGGGGCTCGGGCTTCATTACGCCTTGCTATCCAGTTGTGGTGCATATATGTTGACAGGGTGTACTAAACGAACCTACTGAAGCTAACAGCACGCTAGACTCAGGACTCGGGAACTAAAAGCTTCAGACCTGCTAGAGTCACGGGGTGTGTAGAAAAATATAGACGAAAGTTAGTTGGTAGTATGAGTACCTTAGCATAAAGAAAATAGTAAATAGAGTTTTCTATAGAGAATATGTTTGATACGTTCCATACATAAAGAAATGATTAAATAAGACAGGCATGCCGATTAAATGCTGTATGCATCATCTCAGGCCAGTCGCGCTATTTGCGGCGATGACCTCGGAACCCGGGCACCCCAAAATCACAAATCGCAAAATCAGTCGCGGTATTTCACTAAACTCGAGATACATCGTGCCATTTATTTCTATGCATATGACCTGCCCTTAACTCCTAATCACGAAAATGCTACCGTGCTAAGTGTAAGTGCTGCTACGTCTGCTACGTATCACAGTTTGTCAAAAGGCACTGATGTGAACCGCTCTTAACGTCGTTAGAGACGTATAGAATAAAATATCACACAACACCAGTACCGGGTCATTCAGAATAAAGGCGCACATTTGTTTTCTTCATAGAAGTGCAACAGCAAAAATACTGCATGCGCACGTGCTTATTTTTTACTTATCAATAAATGCTATTTTGTTTTGACTGGTCAGTGAAAAGTGTTGAAGATTCTGCCATTCACACCAGACCAAAGAACACAACTCGTCAAATTCTACCTGGAAACAAAATCAGTCGTTCTCACCCAGCGCAAATGGAAGAAGTGTTTCCAGGCAAGAAAAGCACCCTCTCGGAAGGCCATCCTGAGCCTGACCGAGAAGTTATTGGCAACTGGGAGCCTAGAAAACAACAAAAAGGGCAGATGCGGGGCTAAGCGCACCAAACGGACCCCAGCAAACGCCCAAAAGGCACGACAAATTTTGACATCAGCCCCCAAAACGTCCCTAAAGCAGCTCAGCCAACAGCTGCGTTGTAGCTACAGCACCGCACAACGAATTGCGCGCATTGACTTGAAGTTGCGTCCGTACAAGATAAGTATCCATCAGAAACTTCGTGACTGTGATGAAAAAAGTCGCAAACGCTACTGTGCTTGGTTTAGCAGGAAATGTCACACTTCAAGTCGGTTCATCGAGAACATCTGGTTTTCAGATGAAGCGCACTTCCATTTGGACGGGCGTGTTAACAGCCAAAATTACCGCTACTGGGGTACTGAAGCACCAAGTGAGGTAGCCAGAGAGGCCGTTGCACAGTAAGAAATGCACGGCTTGGTGCGCGATCAGTGCACAGGGCATTTCCGGCCCCATTTGGGTGGAAGATAGCGATGGTAACGCCACAACAGTCAACGCGGCGAGGTACCGCAAGATCCTGCAAAGATTTTGGAATGGTCTGCGCACTCGCTATCGCCACGCACAGGACCGGCTGAATGTACAGTGGTTCCAGCAAGATGGTGCGCCACCACACCGTGCAACAGAGACCAAGGCCTGGCTCCAGGACCATTTCCAGGACCGCTTGATTGCAAAGGGGTTCGGCATCGAGTGGCCCCCTCACTCTCCGGATTTAACGCCACCGGATTTTTTCTTTGGGGTCATCTGAAGTCGGAAGTTTACAAAAATGGACCCAAGACCATCGTCGAACTCAAGAAAGCCGTGGAACAAGCGGTGAGACGAATCCCTGTCGCAACATGCCGCGCCGTAATGGAAAGCGCTCGTAAAAGAGCTGAGCTGTGCCTTCGCGAAAACGGTGGTCACCTGGAACAAGTACTATAGATGGTCAGCTGTAGTTCTCTGACGTCAGCCGCTGATATCCAGCAAAATAGCATCGGTTTGCGAATGTTTTGGTGCCTGTTTTACCAGTATGCGATAAAAAATACAGGCTTGAGACAAAAAACAAATGTGTTCCTTTATTCTGAATGACCCTGTAAATGCGTCGCTCAAGGCACTGCCCGGTAACCAGCATAGGTATTACAACACAACACGACACTTATCGATAAGCATACTTATACCTAGAGATGATTATTAGCTAGACAGCAAGATATGTCATATGGTAACAGCACTCGATACATTTCCACTGTGGTTGTCCCCGTCAACGGTCAATACACATGTGCGTAGGGTCGCCTGATCCTAAAACTACTGGCTGTCATTTATATAACACTTGAAGATATAGTACAATTAGTGGTGCGATGCAAAAGCAATGTGAAGAAGGTAAAGAAGAAAATTATGGAACTGTTAACCTATTTCATCGAAACATCAAGAGCTCATTAAGGCTAACAAATAATAAACATCAACAAAATGTCACCATTCCGATTTAATGACGGCACAGGTCACATAAAAATAGTTAATAAAAAGAGCCCTTGTTCATCACCTCCTAATGATTAATATAATGTAACGAAAACAATGAATAAATTAATTAAAAGCAATCGCTCATAAGCCACACATTTCTAGCAACATTAAGTTCAATTTCATTAACAGCTCGCTACCTTCTCAAACAAATATCACGCCTCACAACATAACAGTAGGCCCATCTGTGTTCGACTTGATAACATTACAGTTCCTTCCATCGCCGCTAGGCGGCAGGCGCGACGCCCTTTTTCACCGCATGTGCGCGGCGGGTACGAGGGACCATCATCACGCAGAAATCAAAGAGAAACTCAAGGATTTCGACGACGGTCACGAGCGAGAGGCCAACGAACAGTCCGAAGGAGCCGCCGATGTTTGAGATCAGGGTGAACGGCTGTGGACAGAGGTCAGGTCAGATTAGGTCAAATCCGGTCAGAGGTTAGGGTCAGAGGTCAGGTCAGAGGTCAGCTCAGGTCAGAGGTCAGGTCAGGGTCAGAGTCAATATCAGTTTTCGTCAAGTGCTTTTGTTTATTGTTATGAGAAATGTGACACAAGGTCAGGTCACTATAGAGTGTAGAAAAATGTACAACAAAACAGCAGCTCGATCGGCTAAGGTTAAGTCGGTCTATATCAAGCTTAGTTAACATCGGGTCAGGTCATTACAGATCAAGTAAGGTCAAGCTAGGTTTGGTAGTGTAAGACAGCCTCACGTGAGGTCAAGTCGGGTCATTGCTGGCCTCGTGAGATCAAACTTGGACAGGTCAGTTTGGGCCATGATGCCAAACCACGCCAAGCAAAATCATGTATCACTTAAGCACACTTCACTGATGGTCAGGTCCTGCCAAGTCACGCCAGGCATTTTCGTCGCTCGTATCACTCTTACCGTGAATGCCGGTGCTTCTTTGATGAGCGAAGCTGAAAGGGATTCCATATAGACATGAATCTTCACAGGATCCAGAGGGATGCTGAAACGAAAAACCGATCATATTCATCACAGTTCACAGCGGGATTTATGAATCTTCACTTATGCGTTTAGTGCCCTAAATCAGGAATGAGACCGTTTTATATATTTCCCAATACCCGTTCTGTTCAAGGCATGGTTTGGTTGGTAGTTCGCTCGGTTTTGGCTTGGTTTTGGCTAGTCAACCGGAGGGAAGTTCCCAATCTAAAAACATGGTACAGTACTACAGTGTAGGTACTGTTCATTTAATCCCCAATCCTGCATAGCCTGGAATGGACATCACAAATACTCACAGCACTTCTTTCAGAGGCGCCAGAATGTCCGAGAAGTTGTGGTTGTCGCCATTAAAAGACAGCGATGTGTCGTAACGACGCTCCCTGAAACACATAACGGGATTTTGTACAGTAGTTCTCTTAAAGTGACCATCCCACCTTAACATTAGTTTTGAGTTGAGACAGCCAAATTGGTGGCCATGGCCTGCAAATACCGGTTTGGGCACTCACAACATCGAAAAATGCTTTAATTCGGAGATATGGAATTTCAAACTTGCAGTTTTCGAATTCTAAGGGGCTAATACATTGGAATGCCCCCTTAGAATTTGTGACGTCAGCGGAGATCTAACGATTTTTAAATCTTAGACTAAAACCATCGTTAACACGTGGTGGTATACACTGCTTTACGCGCAACGTCTGCCGCACTTCGAGGCTGCCAAATTATTGCTTCCAAATAAGTCGCTAGGAACAGCGGAGATCCCAAAAGTAAACAAAAGTAAAAGCCTAATATCTTGAAAACCAGTGAATATTTTTCGGTGAAATTTGGCAGATATTCATTTTTTATCTTCCCGAACCAAGGGACAATACTTTTATGCCAATTCATTAACTTCTTTGAAGGTGGGAGGGTCCCTTTAAGTGGATCGGAAGTTTGTGCAGTATTTCTCTAGAACATGATGCCGAATTCCGTAGAATTTTATGCAGTTTCACCCGTAGCAAGGTGTGGTGTTTTTTTATACAGTATTTCTTAGAATTATGTTACACTGTTAACGAAATTTCCTTTAGATGGAGAGCGATAACTACGCCCACAAGTAGCTTTAGATAATATAGATTGACTAAATTCAATGATTTTAGACGAATTCCTGAGTAAAGAAAAAAAAGTCGACGGACAGATATGCGCATACTGCAGAGTAACTCACGAACACGGATTGAAGCATACACAGGGCTCCTTGTTCTGCAGAAAGTTAACGCGAACCACCGCAACACACTGGTCTGTGGGGGAAAAATCATGTTATCATACACACAACTCACAACTGCTGATATAAAGGTACCCTCCAAGAAGTGTTAACGGTTACAGTTACAGGGTGGGGCAGCATAATCGGGAATAAATATCAAACGGGATTATTTGGTCATGAATCTAAAAATATAGCTCCAAGCACTATTTTAGCAACATCCTATCAATCGGTCACCTTTTACCTATCCCTCATCCTATTTGACCGCCCTCGGCGTCGATGACCTTCTCAAGGCGGGTCCAAAAGCACGCGCATGCACGTGCAACCTCCTGCTTGTCCATGATCGCCCATCAGCTTCGTACCTTGCACTGAAGACTGTTTTTACTGATGATAAGTTGTTCATTAAACTTCTACAAAAAAACGCTCCATGTAAAGAATTTGGTCGGATTTAAATCGGCGGAGTTGAAGGACCAGAAGTTTTTGGTTCATCTCAGGTGGAGGTGCCCTACACAATAACATGTCGTCCTCACTGCAGTACCAGCACGGACAGAGTCCTCGTAAGACGTGATTTGGACCGTCAGTGATCCTCTCTTCCGACGGCTCCACGTGAGTCTGCCAGAGTGCGGTTGTATTTACCAGAGGTGCTCATTTTATCCGGGCTCGATGAAGTAGGGTGCACCACGTGCACCTCCCTTGAAGACCACCCATAGGTCCATCACCCCAACAGGATGTTTACTTTGCATGACCGCTGGAATATTCTCGATACAATCCCCTATATGGCATGCCATTCTTTTTTATCGTATTCCAGTCGGTGATAAGATTTTTTGTCGCTGAAGTTTTGAACATTGTTTCTTTTTAATATGCTCAAGTGCTTCTTCCTTATATTCAAGTGAGTCATCTTGTATGTCCTCTGCTAAGAGTTATTTTACGACGATTACGTTAACCTGTTGTCCTAAGTATCCCCACACAATCCTTATCGTCCGTGATAACACGTTGACCTGCCCAGCAACCTTTACGTGGAATTGCAGGGTTTTAAACAAAATGTTCTTGTTTTACTTGTTTAACATTAGTGTCTATGGGCGCGCGCAAAGCACTTGGAGCACCGTCGAACTATTTTGCTGCTCTTTTCCAGGAAGTTGCATGCTCATGGATGTAGTCATGTCAGATGATGCACAACTTTTGGGCGTTTCATTGCCATAATATAATTTATAAAAATAATGCCATGCCTACTCATGATCAGAGCCCAAAAAGCATTCCCGATTATGCTGCCCCACCCTGTATGTTTTGACGCCCCCAGCTGGCTAGGGAGCGGTAACAATGATAATAAAATTGAATGTTATCATCCTAAATTTGTCATAGAAAACACGTCTGATCAGCTATTGAAAAAGCAATGCTTTTCAACGGCTTTGAGTTTTAGCGCATTGCGCTCGACCTGCGTGTAGTTCACATTTAGCTAATTTTTTCCTCGTCACTGCTTCATCAAGCTCATACTTTCCTTGTCACTGTGCTACCATCTTCGTAAATCGTATCTCACCTTGTGTGCTATTGGTAGGGTTACACCTGACCATATCGTCATCATCGCCGTTGGTAAGTATGGTGTTCAACATCCGAATACAGTGACAGCGCTCCCTGATCCGCCTCTCCAGGCAGACGTTCACACAGCCCTGTAAAATGTATACCAAATAATTATACAATATGCAGCAAAATACAGTGGCGACGATCCCTGATTCGATAATGAAGACAGACGGTAACGCAGTTGTATAAAATACAAGCAAATGATCATATAGTAGTCTGCATTATTAATTACGAACATACAGTTTATACCGTTTAGTAAGAACATTTCAATGCCGTTTATTGAAATGTTTTTTTTTTAAGAAAATGTCGTTTATCCAACACAGACTAGAATACTGTAAGTCTAATCTGTCTTTTTCCTTTCTGCTAGTGTCTGCTCGTCTTCACGTTCTTTTCTTCCGGCGTCATGATTCTAAAACTGACTATATATTCCACATCTCTCTCTCTCTCTCTCTCTCTCCTCTCTCTCTCTCTCTCTCTCTCTCTCTCTCTCTCTCCCTCTCCCTCTCCCTCTCCCTCTCCCTCTCCCTCTCCCTCTCCCTCTCCCTCTCCCTCTCTCTCTCTCTCTGTCTCTCTCTGTCTCTCTCTCTGTCTCTGTCTCTGTCTGTCTCTCTCTCTCTCTCTCTCTCTCTCTCTCTCTCTCTCTCTCTCTCTCTCTCCTGTGCCATTCCTCATTGTCTCACCTCTGACGTATAGGCTCCCACGTAGTTTTTATTCCACTCATCGTCCGATGTGCAGTTCCCATGTGGCTCCTTTACACGAGCTATATCATTCTGTAGAAACAGATACAGCCAACGAAGCCGTCAGCCTTTTGGAATAAGAACGATATTCAAAGTACAACTCTTTATTAGGTATGGGGAAAAGATAAAAGTAGTGATATTGTAGTAACGAATAAAATAACGACACATTATTTGTAAACATATAGGTCTGTGAAAGATCAACACTTCAACAATCACCAGATCATCACAAAGCACCATGCTTATCAAGTAAAAGCAAAACACTTATTAGCTCCCTAACTCACTGCAAAGCACCAAACCTCAATTCACAACATCCCACCAAAGCTCAATAAGTAACCCCACCCCATTAAAACCCCTCAACTCACCATAGTAACTCGTATTGACGTCCTCGAGTTAATCGGAACATTCAGTCCAGTATCTTCTGGAAAGGGCACTGTACGAGGATGATGTATCGAGACTCTGACTCCGTGGCCGGGGGTCACTGCTGGGATATATTCCTCGAGATCTGGACTGAGCATTAGTCGGAGGCCATACTGTGGGAGAAATACGGTGTTAGAGAGTGTACAGTCTTGGTACAGTCCACAGCATACAGTAAGTAATGTGCGGTTTCAGTCCTGGTAATGTTCTGCTTTTCCCATACCTGCTACATTGCATGATTAAATCGAGACATCCAGGCATTTTAATGGCACGTGCACTGTACCACACTTTTCAAAGTTTAATGCAGTGCTTTAATATTGCCAGCCGTGTGGTTCAAGGGGTGTGGTTAATCGCGTTGAACGTGAGCTTTTTGGCAGGTATGGGAAACACCTTCCAGCCCTAAGGCCGGGAATTCAATAAATGTCACCTCGCTTTTTTAGCGAAAAGCACCTCGGGCCTAACGGCCCTCGGAGTTTTCGCTAAAAAACCTCGGTGACATTTATTGAATCATCCCGGCCCCGGGCAGGAATATATTCTGAAGCTTAGGAATGATCAGACCACAATGCTACTTTGAATGTAAGCTAACCTGTATCGTTACCCTTGCAGCTGAAACTTTATCTATTGACGCCTTCTTTTCGATCACTCCGCATCAAAAAGTGGGCAGTTCTCCGAAACAAAAAACCACAGAAACTTGAAATTTTCAGTGGACATCAAGAAAGGATGAAGGAGCAGCTATACGAAAAATCAGCCTCCTAGCTCTAAAAATGTTGAGTGCAGAGCAGAAAGACTACCTGGGGGGGGGGGGGGGGTCGAGGGTTAATTGAAGGTGTTCCGCCGCTACTGCTGATGTGTTTGGTGTTTTGTTGGTATTATGAATCCTCACTAATATAAGTACCTATAAAAGGCTATGGATTTGGTAAGAAATTGATATTTCTCTGGTACTCCGAAGTTGGTTTGGTTTCGGTATTTTCCCATGGTTTTGGCTGATATTTGGTTTGGTATCGGCATCTTGATTCTCTGTAACTGACATCATTAATACCGTGCCTTCTGCCTATTATGTAGCTGAGCGTGAGCATCACACATCGACGGCTACGTAGTGCTTTTTGTGTGATAGTTTTACCCGAACTCTACACTTCTACAGTGTGTGCTGTGCACTGTGCAGTGGTTTTTAGGGAGTTAATATATCCTGATTTCGTATTGTGTGGTGGTTTTCACGTGTTTCAATCCCTCCCTCCTGGTTCTGTTGTGGGTTTTGCGCAGTAGATTTACCCTGGCTCCGTGGTGTGAGGTTTTCACTAATCACTATAGTTTCATCCCCTCTCGTGTTTCTGTAGTGTTTTCTCGTAGTAGAATTACCCTGGCTCCGTAGTGTGTGATGGTTTTCACAACAGTTTCATTCCTGTTACTGTAGTGTTTTCGTGTAGTAGAATTACCCTGGCTCCGTAGTGTGTGGTGACTTTCACGTGCTTCATCCGCTGTCTCCCGGATAAGTCCACAAAGTCTTCAGAAGCGTTGTAAAACACGGAATTGAATGTAAAACAGTTTCCGTAAACACCGTTTTGCCATTGGTGGAAATCCCTGAAACGGAGGAGCCGTGGTTAACCATTGGTTTTGCCATTGGTGGAAATCCCTGAAACGGAGGAGCCGTGGTTAACCGTGGCTGATGGTGAGTTCCTGCTGTGGATAATGAGAATGAATGAATGAATGAATGAATGAATGAATGAATGAATGAATGAATGAATGAATGAATGAATGAATGCATGAATGAATGAATGCATGAATGAATTTCCTCCCTATCTTCTTCCCTCACTCAGTCATTCAATCACTCACTCACTCACTCACTAACTCCCTCACTCACTCACTTACTCACTCACTCACTCACTCACTCACTCACTCACTCACTCACTCACTCACTCACTCACTCACTCACTCTCACTCACTCACTCACTCACTCACTCACTCACTCACTCACTCAGTTCGTACAATCACATCTCTGATTCTTGCAAATAGCCTAGAAACCCGTTTCCTTCCCAGTTCTTACGTGAAATCGCATGCCTCCCCATCGAAACTACACGAGGTGATGAATTCCTCAGGTCGAACACCCGCCTCGAGAATCTCGTCTCGTGATGGGGTGAAAACGTCCGCTATCTCACTCCCGTCAACAGTTTTCATGGCTTGGAGCACGGTGGTGAAGTTTTCTAGGTCGGCTTGGTAGAACTCTGGAGATGAAATAAAAAAATACAGTAGGAATATCACTACAGAAAAGTGTGGGCAGACAATAGCGGTGAATATTTTCTTTGTTTGGTAGATGCGTCTCACTTTAAAATATTTTATCACTTTTAACTCCTAGATCTTCTCGGATATTATATCCTATTTCATTCTATTCATACGGTCTTCACATAAAAGTCAAGCCTACCTCCCGTCAAGCTCTCGTCACGCGTCAAACTCATGGGTAATTTCCGGATAGCCCACGATTGTCACCCGTCTAAGTAACGATCAATTCGTATTCTACATTCTTTGTATCCCAATAAAAGGACTTCGTCCTAAAATGTGGCTCCCCGTAGACGATAAAATAAATTAACTTATTTAAAACAAGCTAGACACGTCTAACTCACTCGTCTAGCTCCCTCGTCTAGCTCATTAGTCACTCGTCTAACTCACGCGCCTGTTCACTTTTTTAACTCACTCGTCTTACTCTCGTCTCAGCTCGTATACTCACGTTCCTGTAGATTATCCTCCAAATCAGTCTTGTACGACGGATCATAATCCCACTGACTGGTCCAGTTGTAGGAAGAAGCTGAAAATCGTGACGTCATTTGGTTAAAAGCACATCAACTCGTGAAGTGGATTTGTTAAAAATGGAGTTATTGGAGATGCATTGGGTGAAAGTGTTGACATGTGATGTCATCGTTTTAAGCATAGATAGTTTTAAAATAAGGTTTTTAGTTAGTGACTTTGCTTTAAAAATATCATGTTTATGTGTTAGTAACACATCAACTCGCTAACCCTATTAGTGGCAGGGGGTTGTTTTTATCCACCCCTCAGGTTTTTCGGGAATATCTCCGAAACCGCTGAAGCTACGATGCTGAAATTTTCTGACTTTTCCTAAAACTAAATTGGGCACATTCCCTGAAAATTTCAAGTTCATAACTTTACCAGGGGCGGCTCCAGAGCACTGGGAATTGGGGGGTCCTATTCGTGAAGCGAGTCATTTGGGCGAAGATCACGATGCTGCACCAGTTTTACGAACAGTGAATGAAAGGTATCATGTGATAACATATACAAAGTTATTGTGCATCCTCTTTTGACACGTTTTTTCTATAATAGGCGGATCCAGGCGTCCAAAAAGGGGGGTTATTTTTTACCTCCCAACATAGGTGCCCTGACACCGCTTATGCATGACTAATACAATTTTAGTCGTTCTCTCATAAGAAAATTGTAACATAACAAGACCATTGCCACCCTTTTTAGAAACAGTACCAACAAAAACCTTATTTACTATACTTTTTGTGTACCCCCAATCTCAATGATCTGTATCCGCCTATGATTTTTGAAAATGCAGATTTTTAGGATCCATGTGAATTCCTGGTTCATTCTCTATCGATCGGCAAAAGTTGCGTTAAGATTGGTTCAGAAACCTGGCCGTGATAAACAGTCTTAAATGTATCTGCAATTTGCCCGTTTTTACCCCCCTCTACCCCCTATTGACATTTTTTAATTTTATTTTTTTAGAAATGTAGATCTCGTTGAGCCAAATCGAATGCCGTTTGAATTTTGAAAATCGGCCGATTAGATCTCGAGATATCAAGGGGGGGGGTCGTAAACAGCCCCCCCCCTGCCACTAATATGGGGTAGCCAGGAGCCTGCCACTAATAGGGTTAAGTGCTTGCGATCGAGATATAGCAACTTGTGGCGTCAGCGTGTTAAAAACGCAGAGCCGGCATTTCATTGGGATAGAGAAATATAATATCGTAAAACGTAAATACTGGGAATTTTTTTCCAGACTTGACGTCACCAGGTAAATATTTCGGCAGTTAAGCGTGTTTTATGCTGTTTAAATTCATTAACGATAGCTGCTACTTCAAAATTGACTCAGATTACTAGAACGTAATTAACGCTTCTCTAAATTAAATCGGTGCACATTGTTATCTTACCTCTCTCATCGGCTGTGATGTCTTCCGTTGATGAAATGTCACTAATTACTGTTGTTTCAGTTGTTGGAATGTCACTTAGTGTTGTTGTTTCAGTTGTTGATATGTCATTAGTTGTTGTTGTTTTAGTTATTGACATGTCACTAACTAGTGTTGTCTCATTTGTTGGAATATCACTCAATCTTGATGTTTCAGTTGTTGGGATGTCACTAAATGTTATTGCTTCTGTTGTTGAGATGGCACTAAATGGAGTCTCGGTTGTTGGAATAAAATTTAATTTTGTTGTTTCAGCTGTTGACATGTCACTAAATGTTGTTCCTTCAGTTGTTGTAATGTCACTAAATGCTGTTGACATGTCACTAAATGTTGTTGTTTCAGCTGTTGGAATATTGTTAGCTTCTGTTGTTGTTTCAATTGTTGAGATGTCAATGAATGACGTTGTTTCAGTTGATGACACTTGATCACTAAACCCTGTTGCTTCAGCTGTTGGAATATCGCTGAATGTTGTATCAGTTGTTGGAACGTCACTGAAAGTTGTTGTTTCAGTTGTTGGAACGTCACTAAATGTTGTTGTTTCAGTTGTTGGAACGTCACTGTATGTTGTTGTTTCAGCTGTTAGAATGTCATCAAATGTTGTTGGCTCAGCTGTTAGGATGTCACTAAATGCTGTTGTTTCAGTTGTTGGACCGGCACTAAAGGTTGCTGTTTCAGAGGTTGGAGCATCACCGATTGTTGTTGTTTCAGTTGTTGGCATGTCACTGAATGTTGTTCTTTTAGCTGTTGGGATGTCACTAAAGGTTGTTGTTGCAGTTGTTGGAATATCACTAAATGTTGTTGGTTCAGCTGTTGGCACGTCACTGAATGCTGTTCCTTCAGCTGTTGGAACGTCACTGAATGTTGCGGTTTCATCTGTTCGGATGTCACTAAATGTTGTTGTTTCAGCCGTTGGAACATCACTGAATGTTAATGCTTCAGCTGATGGGATATCACTAAATGTTGTTGTTCCGGTTGTTGGCACGTCACTGAATGTTGTTGTTTGAGCTATTGGGATGTCACTAAATGTTGTTGTTTCAGTTGTTGGCACGTTACTGAATGTTATTGTTTGGACTGTTGGGATGTCACTTAATGTTGTGGTCTCAGTTGTTGGCACATCACTGAATGTTGCTGCTTCAGCTGATGGGATGTCACTAAATGTTGTTGTTCCGGTTGTTGGCACGTCACTGAATGTTGTTGTTTGAGCTATTGGGATGTCACTAAATGTTGTTGTTTCAGTTGTTGGCACGTTACTGAATGTTATTGTTTGGACTGTTGGGATGTCACTTAATGTTGTGGTCTCAGTTGTTGGCACATCACTGAATGCACTCAGGGATGTTGCTTCATCTGTTTGGATGTTACTAAATGTTGTTTCAACTGTTGTGATGTCGCTGCTGGCTGTCGACATAAATGTGCTACCTTCAGTAGTCAAGTTTTCCATTGTGCCCGCCATTGTGCTAGTGCCTGCTACGCCACCAGTGTCCACTGTGCTAAATGAGCGAGTTGTGTGAAGACTAACGGCTGTATCAGTGGTATCAGTGGTATAAAAAAGAACGGAGTCAGTAGTTGAGGCAGAATTGAAAATACCACCGTCAGTCGTTAGTTCGCTGTTTCTGCTGGTGTCAGTTGTAAAAATGTTTGAAGTAGTAGCGTCAGTCGTAAAAGAGTTCGATGCTGTGTCTTCAGTTGTAAATGAGTTTAATGTAGAAGTGCGAGTTGTAAATGAGTTTAAAGTTGTGGTTTCAGTTACATATGAGTTGAAAATGCTAGTATCAGCTGTATATGAGTTGGATGTTGTATCGTCAGTTGTAAAGGTCTTGGATGTAAATGCTTCTGTTGTCAAGCCATTGGATGTTGAAGTGTCGCTTGTAAATGTGTTGGAACTAGTAGGATCATTTGTAAGTGGCTTGTATGAAGTAATATAACTTGTATATGATGCAGATGGAGCTGTGTCACTTGTCCATCCATTGGAAATCCTATTGTCAGTTGTAAATGAGTTTTCTGCGGCAGCACCCGTTGTAAAACTACCGGCTGTAGTATCCTCAATCCCAGTAATGTAGCTAGTCTCCTCAGTCCCCAGCATAGTCCCAAATGACGTAGACGTAGCCTCACTTGTAGCGTTGTACTCCGGTGAAGAATAGGCCACGGTAGTGGTGTAAGCTGCTGTCGTAGTCGTAGTGGTCGTAGTAGTCGTAGTAGTCTGTGTAGTAGTTCTCGGCTGGGTTGTAGTAGCTTGGATTGTTGTGGCTTCCGTTGTCGTTTCGGTTGTTGTTGTGACGGTTGTTGGCTGTACAGTAGTTGTTTCAGTTGTCGTTTCGGTAGCCGCTTCGGTAGTCGTTATTGTTGTGCTTTGATCTGAAGAGAATGTTGTTCCTGATGCTGTTGTGACTTCTCCGCTACCTTCAACCCATCCGCTCACTCCATCTGTGCTTGCACTATAAGCATCTGTGGATCCACTGTAACCTTCCGTGGATCCACTGTAACCGTCCGTATATCCACTGCCTTCTGTGCTTCCACTGAAACCGTCACTGGTAGAACCGCTGCCGTCCGTACTGTACCACGACGTAGCATATCCACCGGTTGTGGTAGAACCGTCCATGGTAGAGTACGAGTCATACATATCCGAATAGAAACTGGTTTCGGTAGAAGCAGCGGTAGTGGTGAACCCGGTAGAGGCGGCAGTAGTGGTGGACTCGACCGCTCTTTTTCGACGGATGGAACTGAAAGGGTGTGTATGACGTCATACGCTGGTATTGTATGATGATGAAAAGACTGAAGTCGCATGTTAAAACCGATTGAAGCTGCAATGACGATTATATCCATAAAATACTATGTCAATAAGTTATGTCCAATGTTATAATTTCATGCTGCAAAGAAAAAATACAGCGTCATTGCGTAGTGTCAAAATAACGATGCAATGAATCATGAATTGATCATTAAAAACTTGAATGGCCTATGGGATCACGAGTACATTCATTGTGTCGATTGCTTACGTTTGCTGCGTCGTTGGAGCTTCAGCTGGAGCTGAAAGGGAAAATATTTCTGTGAGCGCAATTTATGCTTGTATAATAGGTACACCTTCACCATCATAATTTTACCAGCATAATACACCAGCAAAATTTACAGCAGCATGAGTACTTTCAAACTCAGCAGTTCTAGCTCAACATTTTGTCTCATTCTTTTAATCAGTCTGTACTAATGTAGGTACCACTTGATTCAATTTGATCTCTCCACCACACCGTTCTACCTCAGTCTTCTCTTTGAGCATTCTACCTCACCTTTCTACCTCTTCCCGTGACTCCTAAGTCCTACCTGAGTAGAAAAGCTCCATTTCTGCCGCTGATTTCCACCGTGTATTCATGAGCATTCCACCTCACCCTTCTACCTCCTCCAGTAGCACCTACCTGAGTAGAACGGCTCTACCTCTGCCACTGACCTCCACCGTGTGTTTATGAGCATTCTACCTCACCTTTCTACCTCTTCCGGCGGCGCATACCTGAGTAGAACGGCTCCATTTCTGCCGCTGACTTCCACCGTGTGTTCATGGCTCGACTTCTGACCAGCGGGTTCAGGCTGCAAATGGTCACAGCTGGAAAATGGACACGAGTCTGGTCCACCACCTGGCGGCGAAAAACGGAACTAATGTAAGTCGGGGCTGGTTGGGTTGGGTTGTTTGATTTTAACTGTAATGCATTTAAATAGCATTTCTAATTTCTAATTATAGGCACTTTATCTGACTGTATTGACTACTGCTCTTTGTATTACTGTATTGCATTGAAGTTATTCATGTGGTAAGATTTTTCCAGATAAAAAGTATTAAAAAAAAATATTCTAGACATTTTACAATGTTGCTTTCCGTGACATTTGGACACGGGTTTATGAAACCAAGAGAACATTAGGTATCCACTATCCATGTCGGTTGGTATGCTACGCTCCATTGCGTCTATTTATACCTACGCGACTGTTTGTACGTTGCAGCCCAGTTCCCTACCCTTAGTCACCATCGCAATTAATCTAGGCAATGACTAGTGCATTTTTCCTCTAACCGTTTATCCGAAGCTGTAACTTATCAACTCACCGATTAATCAACTCACATTTTACCAACTCACTCCAACTCACCTGAACACAAGCGCACTCACCAACTCACTCAGCAACTCGCTCACCAACTCACTCCATCAACTCACTCCACCAACTCATAACAAGTCTGTCACCAACTCACCATTTAACTCACCAACTCACCTCAACACAACTCACTCACCAGCTCACTCTACCAACACACTCCATCAACTCACTCACCAACTCACTTATCAACTCACTCCACCAACTCATAACAACTCAGTCACCATCTCACCAGTTCACTCCCCAACTCACCTCAACACTTGTGGCTTTCGGAAATGTGAGAAACGACAGCAGAGTTGTCGTGACTTGCCAAATGAGCAGTCCGAGAAATAACAGAGAAACCAGAGTCCAGACTACTTGTCGGACCTGCGAGAAAAAAAAAAAACATTGTAGCTATTAGCCGTTTTCTTGACAGGTTATCTGGCAAATGCACCAAACATGACAAATATGTTAAGTGTGCGTCAACTCTCAATCTTACCAGTTAGTACACAGAATCCATTGAGTATATCTTTATATCATGGATCTTGTTCAATATTTTAATCGAGGATCATGTTTGATGATTTGATAAATCAGGCAAATAAGCAACTAATGCAACCTTAGCTAAAAGACTGCAAAGAATCGAGCATGAATTCCTAATTTGACCAAACAGCACCAAATGTGAACCAAATGCTGGTCAAGTAACCGTCTTGAAATGAACTATTTTCTACCAAATAAGGATGGCGATGCCGATACATTTTGGTGTTTGGTATTTCAAAGATGTTTTGGCATTTTGTTATTCAATCCTCAATTTGCGGTGGTTGCTGGGGCATTCCACGATAGATCGTACCAGGCCCGTCACCCTCATCTCTCAGATTTGAATGAAAATTGGTACAAGGGGTAATCATAGGCTCCAAAAACACCTGCCAAAATACCAGACTTCTCAGACGAAAACTTTTTGAGATACATTGCATAATATTTTCTAAGCTTCAGATTGTAAAGGTGAGTTTTATGAGCTATAACTCAAAAATGAGCTAAGCAAGCAACAAACGGTAAACAGCTTTGAGCTAACAATGAATCAAAGATAAATACAGTAATTTTAAAATTGGAAAGAAAAGCTTAACATATTGAAAAAAGTCGTAGTATTTTTTTAAATTGTCTATAATGGCCCTTGGGACCAAAATTTTTGCCATTTTTATTTCTTCAAAATAAACCTCAGGTCCTTTAAAATCGACATGCAAAAAAATTAGAAAAGTGTTCTTTCTATAAGTTTCTCATTTAAATGTATACAAAATGGGTTTCCGGGGGGTCGGTACGACCCCACCTCGCCGTTTCGCCTCTAATGGAGCTAGAACCTTGCGGAAAAAACGAGCATGTGCGCCGTTACAAGATGCATCGAATGATACCACATTTTAAGGTCTCGGGTTTATTGGTGACCCCTGAGGTCATTTCAAGTGACCCAAAATTACGGGTCCGGCTTTTGATAGATAACTTCGCAACAAATGGTCGCAGAGCCGCGATTTTAGCATCTTTGTGTTTGTCTAGCTCCGGCGCGTCGAATGGTATACTGTTTGTTCTGGTGAAGTCAGTTTAAGTCGCTGACCGCGGGTAAGCACACTGCCGTGTATTTGGCTCCGCGCCCCGACCGGGCGGCCCAGCCGGCAGCCAGCCCCCGGGCATCACGTGACCGCCCCGAGTCCGCGGCAAAGCCAACCAGCGCGGCGCTGGACAAACAGCGCCGCTACAGAGATGGTTAACAGTCGGGTCAGGCCACGAAGCTGGGTGAATGAGATCATTTTGCACATCATTCGATTCGCGAGGTCTTTCCGATTCCATTGGTAGCCTTCCCGTCTCTCTAGCTCAATTTGATCGAGAGTTATTGACGAAAAACTCTTATGACCCTAGTGACGTACGAATGACGTCACGCAAGGTCAACAATGCAAAAGTGAGGCAAAAAAGACTTCAATTGAACTTTCAGTAACCAGTGATGTCACTAGGCAGCTTTACCACACCATTTGTAGGCTCTCTTCCGAAATCACAATTCGAGACCATTACGGTGACGCAAAATAAGTACATTTATAGAAAGAACACCTTCCTAATTTTTTGCATACTACTTAAAAATAATCCAACAATGTTTTGAAGTAAATAAAAATTCAAAAAAAATTTGGTCCCAAAGGCATAAAAATGCAAATGAAAGGAAACTCGAGGTGTTATATATAAAAAATAGTATATATTTCAAAATTTTAAAAATGCATATTATTCTTTGTTTCAATGCAAGTTCAATGCCGCATAGCATTTTGGCATTTGGATTATCCGTCTTAGAGGTACAGCCCGCCAAACTTGGGGCTGCAACGCAAGATCCAAAACATGTTATAGGTACACTATAACTCAAAAACCACTCATCTGATAAGCCTGAAATTGTTACAGGAGGATTCAGAGCCCCTGATTACCCCTTAGACCAATAACCGTTAAAATCCGAGAGATGAGGGTGTCAAATTGGAAAAAAGTGGTACGATCTATCGTGGAATGCCCCTGCTACCAACACTGCTTATTTTTGGGCTTTCGTCCGTCCTCGGTAATTTGATAAAACAAGTTGTTGCGCGCTGGCTGACGACTTTTTCCGTCATAAGAACGGACGCCAGAACAGGATTAACACAGGGAAGACATGTAACATGTTTAGGCTAGTGTGGAGCTAGCGACAATCTTTAATCCACAAATTATTATCGGCATGACACCAACCTAGAACGTCCACTCGTGTGACCGAATCGCGTGTATAATCGCGTGTATCGAAGCCACTCATACAAGGTGCCTTGGTCAACTTGTCACGCGGCACGACAGCGAACTTCTATGGAAACATATGGACAAGTAATTGACGTTAATTGTTGCAACGAATGGATAATAATTGTCGCATCTCTCCTTATTCTGTCGTGGCACCATGAAATTATCATTTGAAGTGTAATTACTGGTATTGCCATGTAATAAGCGAACATGCATACACATGATGTTATATGCCACGCTGGCAGTAATTTCTTATAAGAAAGGCGTGTAACTATTTCGTGAACGGTGTTTCGGGAATGTGTTCTAGGTTAATAAATGATGAGTATTGTTATGGTGTTTTAGGAAGTTCCTATGCTGGTACTTGCATGCAAGTTTATGGTTGATTACGTACAACACGGCCTGCGTTTCTGGTAACTAAATCCCTCTGACTATATATAATACTTATGAAATGTTTCAGAAGTTACAATGTGTAGTTCCAGTGAGGAAATGTCCTCGTGAGTATAGCTTACGGCATGCGGCTAACAAAATGAAGTTACTTATGGTTTCCTTACTGATGAATTGCACTAGCATATTACAGATAAAGATGCAAAGGCACGGGAGAGGACAGTCGATTGCCAACAGCTTTTACAGATGATTATATCCATTTATGTGTACAATAAACGCATGCTGGTCTTCATTCGCAAGTTTTGTGGAACAACTTTTCACAGCACGCACAGATTTTGAGGAAACTGGCAACACGTCCAACACATGCTATAGCCTATAACAATGATTTTTGCATCGGAAACAATACTCTCGAACTTATTAAAATGAAACCCTGCTCTGAATAAACACACACTGTCAAACCAAAGTGTCTCACTGTTTTCTACTCATACTGCATGCGATTACTGGCTTGATATTCCTCCCCACTGCAAATGTGACATTTGCATACGCCTTACATATTATGTGCTTGTACCAAAAACGGCCCCTATGTTATGTTGTCTTCACACTTCAGTAGGAACGAAGAACGGTCACGCACATGTTATTGATCATCAGTTGGGCCTCGGGGGGGGGGCACCTGTTTATGGCCTAGTGCTGAGGCTAATACAACTACTAGTTGACTCGTTAACACGAAGTAAGCTCGGTGTAAAACGCCTATCGAAAAGCAAAGATAGCAAGGTTAGTAAGCTCGTATTTATACTAAGAACTATGTTAGTAAGGTAAATAAGCTCGGTGGAATCGGTGCGCAAAGCTTGGTCAAACAAAGAACGAAGGTCTTTCACCAGCTACATTGGTGCATCAGGATCACCAGTCAGGGAGCGCTAGATAACCTCCACACATTATGAAACTGCAGATAAAAGATCCCATAAAACATACATGATTCTTGAAGCACTTGGACCGGCCTATGCGTCATCCCATGATATATCAACCTGGTGGACCAGCCTTTCAAATCAATTAAGCCATATACCAATCCAGGCATAGAAGCGGTTTTTTAAATCAGAACTATTCATGTTTGATTAGAGCTTTCATCTACTGCAGCATAATTTAACAGGAGATACTTAGAGCGTTCTGGTCAATTTAGATGTCGATTACACATTACACTGAGAGAAAAAGTCACTAGGGGTTTACCAGCCTCCCCTAGTAAATGCATGTGACTAGCCTATTTACCAGCCTTTGGGGCTGGTTTTTGGGGTAGTTATCACCACTTCGTCCGTGTCGTAGTTTCCCCCCTAGTTTTCGACGTAGTAAGGGTAGGTAGTAATGGTTACCAGACTGGCCACCAGGGGTGACCATGGGGCTCGCATTTTTACCAAGCCTTGAACTAGTATCCGAATCTGACGCAGAAGTTCATGCCGCAGCCATTTTGTTTTGCTTGACAACCGCCATTAGCGCTTTCGCCGTCGGCCGGAGAGTCTCTGCGCAGGTCCTGGATAGAATAAGGCTGTAGTGGCAAAGTTTTGCGTTCAGGCGGTGTGAGATGGTAACGTTTTGATTAAATTCTGTGAATTATTGTGCAAGAGGAGGGCAGCACCACGGTGCCGGCGATTCTCGAGGGCGAGGATGGGTACGCCGTTACCACCGACGGTGTAACGGTAGTGACGGTGCGCAGCCTTCGCGAGGCCCTAGTAGAGTTTGCGCTTGCTCAATATGTGTGTAACATGAAGGTTCGCGCGGTGACGACAACGCTAATGTGGTTGACCAAGATCATGTCACTTCCTCAAGAGGGAGCCGCACCGGCGGACGTCGTCGCTGCCGTGCAGCAGTTGGATTAGAAACGTGCACAGTGGACATTGCCTTGGCGGTCACCAGCACTATCTGTAGCGGCGGAGTCTACTGCTATCGTTTCAAATAAATGGTTCGCCACCAGCGATATTGCGTGTGATCAGTACTATGGCTAGTAAAAGGCGTGGTACTGGGGGTAGTTAAAATACGTAGCACTCTGGTACAAGGGCTGGTAAGAAGGAGAACCCCTTCGTTAAAAGGGTGATACTGGCTACTAACCCCTAGATATTGGTTTGGTAACCGCCGATGGGCCGTGGTAGTTGGGTTAGTAAATGTGACTACCCCCTTGTAAGAAGGCTGGTTATGGGTCTGGTAATTGTAACTAGGCCTCTAGTAAAACCACTGGTACGACACCTAGTAAATTTAACGAGGGGTGGTTAGTTTTGGCCTAGTAATTTTTGACACTAGGGTAAAACTAGCCACCCCTGGTAACTTTTTCTCTCAGTGTAAATTGCCGTGACGCACTTAAAAGGCAATGCTTAGCAGATAAAACGTAAGGAAAAGTAACGGCTGACCATCGCATTTCAACCATCAACGCCCAAGAGTTCTAATAACTTCGGGGAAATTTAGCACTGACCATTTGTAGCGACAATTGCGAGGCAGGTTAGTTCCAGTGGGTTCTGAACGACCACTACGCAATGCTACGGTAAGGTTTGGTGGGTCGTTACCCAGTGATTGGGTCGGTGAGTTATCGACTATGAGTTATGGGTACGGCCAAGGCCCGTTACGACCATTGGTCATGCCAGACCAACCAGTGTTGGTTGGTTAACTGTCTGGTGTAAGGGCCGACGACAAACTGCAGGTTACCTATATTACGAGGGGCGTTCAAAAAGTTCCCGGCCCAACCATGAAGGAGTTGGAATTTGGGCTTGCAACGCGGTGTGTTCAATGATGTGTTATTGGGATGTTCACTTACGTAGCCATTAACCAATCTGCCCTGTGATTGGTTCAGGCTGCTAATTAATCGTAACATAGTTTGCCATTCCCGGTCAGAATGGGCGACTTCCAGAGGAGAACAGTGATTTGGTTCATGTATTGCAGAAAAATGCACCAAACGTTATTCACGAAAAGCTAGTGCCAACACATGTTGAGGTTTGTCTTTCTTACAGTAGCGTCAAAAAGTGGGCATCTCTGTTCAATTTTGGTCAACAGATCATTAATGGTCACCCCCGCACTAACCAGCCATCAACAGCATTGACTCAAGAAAATGTGAAAAATAAGCACTTCTTTATGAAAAATGGCAAATGTTCTGGTCTGGAACAACGCAGCAGAAGCGGAGGTGTCTATCAGGTCCCTCAAAGCCATTCTTCGACAGCGTACTAATATGTTTAAGATCTCTGCAAGATGCATCCCCCGTTTGCTGATTCCAGAGGAAAGGCAAACTCGAAAGGAGGCGTAACGCGAAAATTTTGGCCCCTATATCGAAGATCCAAAAGAGTTCATTGAACTACTTGTTACCGTGGAGGGATTGTGGGTGTCACACGTTGACCCTAAGGGCGTGACGGAGTTGCACAAGTGGAAGCACACTGAGTAAAGGCCACCAAATGTGTGTGACATGTTTAAGTCATACGGCAAGGTGACAGTGGTTGCATTTCGGGATGCTGGCGGGGCCCTGCTCGTCAACTTTCTAAAACAAGGGCGCACAATTAATGATGAATACTACACCTCCCTTCGATAACAGTAGCGAGCAGCAGATATCAAGGAGAGACTAGGGAAGCTGACTAAAAATGTGCACCTGATCCAGGACCACGCACCAGCACACATGAGCAGGGTGAAGATCAGCGAAGCAGTGAGCTGTGGCTTCGAGTTGTTGTCACAGCCACTTTTTTCTCCGTACCTTGCACCCTCAGGCTGCCACCTCTTCCCCAACATAAGGAAATTGCTTAGCAGTGGCAACTTCGCTGACAGCAAGGAGACAAAAGCAGCCGTCTTGGACGTGCAAGATGCGTCCAAAACCCACTTGGCTATGGAGAACCAGGGGCCTCTCGCGAAGCGCTGCGCGAAATATTTTTGTCTTTACGCTGGTTATTTGACTAAATGAACATTTTTGGTCTAATAAGTCGACGTCGTATCTCTGCTCCTTCATGGTCGGGCCGAGAACTTTTTGAACGCCCCTCGTATGTATTTTCTGATGATGTCCCGCACTGAGAGAAAAAGTTACCAGGGGTGGCTAGTTTTACCCTAGTGTCAAAAATTACTAGGCCAAAACTAACCATCCCTCGTTAAATTTACTAGGTGTCCTACCAGTGGTTTTACTAGAGGCCTAGTTACAATTACCAGACCCATAACCAGCCTTCTTACAAGGGAGTAGTCACATTTACTAACCCAACTACCACGGCCCATCGGCGGTTACCAAACCAATAACTAGGGGTTAGTAGCCAGTATCACCCTTTTAACGAAGGGGTTCTCCTTCTTACCAGCCCTTGTACCAGAGTGCTACGTATTTTAACTACCCCCAGTACCACGCCTTTTACTAGCCATAGTACTGATCACACGCAATATCGCTGGTGGCGAACCATTTATTTGAAACGATAGCAGTAGGCTCCGCCGCTACAGAGTAGTGCTGGTGACCGCCAAGGCAATGTCCACTGTGCACGTTTCTAATCCAACTGCTGCACGGCAGCGACGACGTCCGCCGGTGCGGCTCCCTCTTGAGGAAGTGACATGATCTTGGTCGACATAAACCACATTAGCGTTGTCGTCACCGCGCGAACCTTCATGTTACACACATATTGAGCGAGCGCAAACTCTACTAGGGCCTCGCGAAGGCTGCGCACCGTCACTACCGTTACACCGTCGGTGGTAACGGCGTACCCATCCTCGCCCTCGAGAATCGCCGGCACCGTGGTGCTGCCCTCCTCTTGCACAATAATTCACAGAATTTAATCAAAACGTTACCATCTCACACCGCCTGAACGCAAAACTTTGCCACTACAGCCTTATTCTATCCAGGACCTGCGCAGAGACTCTCCGGCCGACGGCGAAAGCGCTAATGGCGGTTGTCAAGCAAAACAAAATGGCTGCGGCATGAACTTCTGCGTCAGATTCGGATACTAGTTCAAGGCTTGGTAAAAATGCGAGCCCCATGGTCACCCCTGGTGGCCAGTCTGGTAACCATTACTACCTACCCTTACTACGTCGAAAACTAGGGGGGAAACTACGACACGGACGAAGTGGTGATAACTACCCCAAAAACCAGCCCCAAAGGCTGGTAAATAGGCTAGTCACATGCATTTACTAGGGGAGGCTGGTAAACCCCTAGTGACTTTTTCTCTCAGTGCGTACGCGGAACGAGCAATAGGTGCTGTTGTGGCTGAGCTTCGTGTGGCAAACTGGTGTTTAGCGTGTGTGTGTGGGAATTCTTGATAGTTGAGCAATAGTTACGAATATACGGCATAACTATTAAGCAATGCGCTGTATGTTCGGTACAAATAGCGCCCTGTTGATGTCACTGTGTTTACGCCTAAAATGTTAGGAAGGTCAGTACAGTGTAGCTTGCTTATATTTTTAAACTTTTATTCATTTTGTATTTCTATTTATTTCATTTTTATTCATTTCGTAGTTGGTATAGCGTCAATATCTGCCTCGTGCCGTTGAGGTTTAGGACTTAACTGTTGACTTTTTTACATGTATGCTTACAAGTCAACTGTTCCGTTATTGAACTCCAATCGTTCGCAGCTGTCTTACCGTTACGTCATTTATGACTGCCCTCTTACCATGGACGGACTTTTGAAGATTCTCGGTATCGCGTGAGCAGACAGCCTCTCGGAGAGGAACGTCTTCACCACTTGTCCGGCGGCAGGTCCTTCTCCCTCCTCTCCAGCCGGGCTAGCCCAGGGCTCCATATTGGGGCCCATTTTATTCTGGTAGTCGGTGTCCATGTAGTGTACTTTGCTGGGAGCACGGTAGCGGAATGGAGGCGGTGTATCCACTGACATCTGGCGGAGGAAATATAGTCTGGTAAGTGTTAGAATGGATTTGAACTGCAACAGTTGCTTAATGGCTTATCGTAAGGCTACCAATTACTTTGGCCAATTGTCGGATACCAAACCATGTTTACCAACTAATTGGTAGGATTTCGACTCTACCATGTCTTCATAAAACGATACACAAGATGGATAGTACACAATGCAAAACTACTCAACAAATATCAACGTTCATTGACAAAGAAACTCACACTTTTCTGGTACCACCAAAAGGTGAATCCCAGGCGTCTTGATCAAGTATGCATTTCTGTAAAGAACCGATGGGAAAGATAAATTAAAAAACTGGGGTGCAGTCAAGTGAGTTGATAAGGTTCTCAATCGTCATAAGTGAATGGCTTCCAGAAGATATTTGCAAAAGCATCGCATCAGTGTGGCAATTATCAATATGTAGCGTGAATTTCTGTTCTAAGTATTTTTGCCTCATGAATTTGGCTCTAGGAGCAACTTTTGAAATCCTGCATCGATTTTGTCATGATAACATGACACATATTTCAGCAACTGGAATGCCATTTCATTTCTGCAATATGCTTCTTAAAGGAAATAGTTCACTTTCACGAAATTATTTTTTTTTTGCAATGGATTTATGATTTTTTATGTTCAAAATGATCAGCAAAGAAAATAAAACCTATTTAAAACAAAAGATTATTTTCTATATTTTGATATAGGAAGGACTTTTCAGTTTCTGTAAGGCACAGGCGATCCAGTATGAAAAGAGCATGGGTCCCGAAAATTTTTCAGAAACTAGAGAAATTATCGCGGCCACCGGCATTTGGGTGATCTGCTGCTGCTGAATGTCCTTATTGATCAGTACGAGAATTTCTCTAGAGTTCTCGTAGATAATTTCTCTAGTTTCTGAAGAATTTTCGGTACCCATGCTCTTTTCATACTGGATGCGAATATATGCAAGGCACACATCCTCAACGCAAGACACCTTTTTCGGGACGAGAAATAGAATATCTTTGCCTAGGGTGATCGTTGGGCTGTAAAAGCTCCTGATTTATGCTCGTCTCAGCCCAGGCTACGGAACTGCTATTCCAGTTCAAAACCCATGTTAAAAAGTGAACTATTTCCTTTAATAATTTGCAGCGATAAAATCAAGATTATAAGCCATGGATCAGCACGGCCGCAATGAAACCTCAGCCGTTTCAATTATTATTGCGCAGTAAAACCTCTGCAAAATCATTATCGCTTTACGCCTTATCGCACAGGGTATTCTAAAACGGTACTGAAGCAATACGATCCAACCATTCTACAAATTAAATTCACCTCACAAACACTGATAACAAAACGTCAGTTCACATTACCACAAACGCACGCGACAGGCAAAGCTTTACGGCTGCAACGTACCGCTTTGAGCATTGGAGTGTCGGATGTCTGAACTGGTAGACTAGCCCGCAGTACAGCGAAGTACTGCGGTACAGTCTACCTATGCAGACTTGCTGCTCAGCGTAACGCACTGTAGCGGACGAACGGAACGGACAGACAGACGGACGGACAGACGGACAGACGGACAGACGGACGGACGGACGGACGGACAGACGGACAGACGGACGGACGGACGGACAAACGGACAGACGGACACTAGATAGACGGACAGACCGACAGACGGACAGACCGACAGACGGACAGACGGGCAGACGGACAGACGGACAGACGGACAGACGGACAGATGGACGGACGGACGGGCGGATAGACGGACAGACGGACGGACGGACAGAGGGACGGACGGACGGACAGACGGACAGGCAGACAGACAGACAGACAGACAGACAGACAGACAGACAGACAGACAGACAGACAGACGGACAGACAAACAGACAGACAGACAGACAGACAGACAGACAGACAGACAGACAGACAGACGGGCAGACAGACAGACGGACAGACAGACAGACAGACAGACAGACAGACAGACAGACAGACAGACAGACAGACAGACAGACAGACAGACAGACAGACAGACAGACAGACAGATGAACGGGCGAATGAGCGGACGGAAAGGCGAATGGTCGTTTCTGTAGAAGCTTAATTTGCCGAAATCAAGACAACACCCTGTGACAACAGCATCAAACATTTAAGCACTTATGACAGATGCATAGAATTTAGGCGCATAATTGTAGATGCGTGTGTACTTCTAGGTAATGTAATCACGAGATGTTTTGATGGATAAAATGCAGGCGTGTGGATCCTACCGTTTCACTTTTGCATGGGCGTCGCCACCACTACGGACACTACGGACAGTGTCCGTACAAGTTTTGGAAGGCCCGAAAACTTGTACGGAATGTCCGTACAAGTTTCGTCGACCGCAAAAATGCAGTCTTCGCACCAGGCCCATGTCACTCCACTTTTGATGACATCATAAGGGGGCCTCAGGACAATAATGGCGCGGTGCGCCACAATCGCTTCAAAGCTACTTACCAACAGCTGCCATTTTTGAAAAATATTATTTTGAAATAAAGTTACAGGTAATAAAAATATTGTAATAAAGTTGTTGATTAAATCGATACCATATCTAAAAACTTACTGAAAAATGATTTATTAGTAGTAAAAATATAAGCTCGATGCGTTTTTACGTTGCTTTCCTGCAACTGCGGAGGATTTTTAAATCGTCTATATCTTCAAAACCGGCCATTTCTTAGCATATTGCTGCTCTTTTTATCGCTAGAAAATTAGTTGAACTTTGCAATGACATCAACGGTTGAGCGATATGTGTAGAGTGTCCCCAACAATCTTCAAATAAAGTTAGTCATTTTTACGTTGTAAAGGAATGGAGCACCCCTTGCGAGCATCAGGGGTGACGTCACTCAGGATCTGTCTCTGATTGGTCGGCGGGGGAGTGACTGTACCTTCTATAGATGGCCTTGGTCCGCACATGTTTGAAGCAGGTTAAAGCTTATCAGACCCCCTATTTGTGGTTAAAGTTACGATCCAAGGCCACCCCAAAGTCAATGTCAGGCAAGAGTAGGTATAGGTATAGGGTGTGACGAAATTATTCGGACATCTTTTTTATTAGAACTCAGCCCGGCCGCGAACGCTAGTGGTTAGGAGAGTTGTCAAGATAGCGACAAGGAAACGACAACAATCAATCTGCAGATTGACTTGTATTCTTAGCAAGGCAGATAATAAGAAGGCCCACATCATGGCCCACCACTATCCACCCCTTAACTTGGTTCTTCTGCCCATCAAACTGAAAAAGACAGCGCAATGGACGGGAAAATAGCTAGTGCACCACCTTTGGCCTCACACCAAGACACATCCACTGCACTGGTCGAAGGAAGACATGAGCGTTTGGTGGAGTGGGCAGCTATTCGCGCTGTATTGTCCTTTGAGCCGCCAAAGCGGCCTTGTGTTGGCTGCCAGTAACTCAAACGTGCCGGCCGTCACCGGCGTCAAACATCCGGCCAAGATCCAGGTCTGGAACATGTTCAGCTTATGTGCGATGTTCCAGCTGTGCATTGTGTCACAGAAGACCACCTTCAGTGACGATTATTACTGAAGCAGCATCCTGGCAAACAAATAATTGGAGCCGCTCAACCGGACGGCACGAGAGGGCTCCATTTCTAAAAGCGCACTGATGTTTGATTCAAGCCACGCTGCCTTCGTGCAGGCTGGAGCGCTACATTTAAGTCCGTAGGAGAATGAGAAGTGACGCCGAGAGAAGCTCTTATCCTTCTGGACTAACGGGCGCCGACTTGGAAATAGTTGTCATCCTGATTTCATAGAGATCTTAAGGATTTTTTGTCCAGCGGGAGGTGAATAAGGGGACACCCGGCACTGCAGGACCGCCCAACTGTATGTGAGCACACATTGAAAACAATTTAACCCAAGGCCGGCGAGTAAATCGGTGTTTCACGGGTACCACTATCCGCAACCATTTTTAACCACCCTCCCAGGAGTAGTGCCAGGTCCCATGGTGGTGTAGTCGTACTTGCTCTGAGCGGAAACCGCTGTCAGCGAACTTGTCCGCTGAGAGCAGGGACGACTACACTGCAATGGGACCTTACTGTACTCCTGGGAGGGTGGTTAAAAATGGTTGCGGATAGGGGTACCCGCGAAACACCGGTTTACTCTCCGGCCTTGGGTTAAATTGTTTTCAGTGCATGCTAATACGGCGTCTGTCCACATCAAACCTACTGCTTGAAAACCCAGTAGTTGGAATGTTCCAGGGATTTTTAATTATGATATCATGAAAGCTGGCGATATCTTCATCAAAAGGAAAACCTCAGGCTGTCTTGTTTCTTAATCGCAGCGGGAAGGTTACCGGATAATTTCGTTACACCCTGTATCCTTCTAAATGCTATTTTACTGGTATTCAGTCATATTACATGTCACTTTTGTCATCCTGAGGCTCTAAATGAATGCTTAGATCAAAAGGAATGACAAAATCGTGGCCAGTGACTTCAAATACAGCAAATGAGACTGATCATGTGTAAACGTCAACCAAAGGCCATTCGAGGTCACATGAGGTCAACATAAAACTTGACCTTTTCAAACAACCTATATGTCATTCGACGCGTCTTGACATGACGAATGCGTTGGTACCACTGCTTTAGGTCTAGGACCTTTTTTGGTGAAGAAATCTGCAAAAAAGCCGCAGCTCGGGGTCGCTAACCTAACCTTTGACCTAACCTTCCAGGCGGTGGGGGGGGGCATTTTTTTGCCCCCCCCCCTTTACTTTTTTCGATATATCTCGAGAACCGCTGCGCCGATCGTCACCAAACTTTCAGTACCCTCCCGGGAGCAGCTAGCGCACATGGTGACAAAAAAAAATTCCAAAGGCTATGATAGGTTTGCCGCTAATGACGTAAGAGTGACGTCATTTTTGCCATTTTCGACCAAAAAAAAGGTTTCGCGGGGAGAGCTGTCAGGCCTACAGCTTTAGAGATACAGAAAAATGTTTTTGACATAAAAGGTGTGGAATTAAAAGGGCTACAAAACTGCTATTTCGGTTT